TTTTTTTTTTTTTTTTTTTTTTTTTTTTTTTTTCTCCAGAAGTGAATTCTTTCTGCAGTGTCCTATTTCAATCTCACACATGCTACAAAGGAATTTTGGGAGTTTTCAGTTTAACAAGCTGGAGAATATAAATACCATCCCAAATACTGCATGCCAGAGCAATGTTATTTATTCTCGTTAGTCTTACAAGCTAGAAACTATCTCCTCTCTTCCCTGTTTTTAATATACAGGGAGTTTGAGCACAAAGGGGACTGAAAACTATCCAAGAGCGTACAACAAATCAGTAATTTGATCTCGGGTATCCTGAATCTTCGTCTAGCAATCTGTTCACTGGCCCACTCTTATGTTTAGGAGCAGAGTAAAATGTTGCTAGCATGAGTATCTGAATGTAAACAGCAAAACATGCAGTCTGTTTTAATGTTGCATTCAGGAATATGTAACTTGCTTAGGCACTCAAACGCCCAGGAATAGATTCCAGGGTAAGGACGATATACACAGGGTGTCAACCTGAACATTTCTACCATGTTTGGGGAAAACAATCCTTGCACTGCTTTATGAACCTCCATTTCATGCCCATCAAGAAAGCTTGCCTCTGACTTTGATTCAGACAACCCTGCTAATGGAGAAAGTCTATTTGGGGATGAGGACAGAGCAGTATTCGGCTGAGCCACATCCTTCTGTGGTGCCACTGGGCTTCCGCTCTTCCAAATTGTTTCCATGTGTGCTGCGACTAACTCAGGTCTGACTGTACATTTACTCCATCAGTTTAATATGGGAAGGGAGGCAAAACCAGAACATAGCTTAGAAAGCTTGCTTTCAGCTCACTGAAATGTAATCACTGCTTCAAATACACAAAGCAAGATCCCACAACTTTTTGGCTCTGGTCTATTTTGGAGCATAGGGTCTGAACTGCAGATGAAACCATGAATGCTAAATTATCTTACATTGATTTTGTCCAGCTTTTTCTGTATGGTCGATGTATCTCCAGATGAATCTGACCAGCGGTGCAGCTCTTCCTTTGCAGAATGGAGCCAGTCTGTGAATTCATGCACAGCATCAAGGTATAGCAAATGATCCTTCACAATATCTTCCACTTTCCTCATTTTCTCCTATAATTCAGATGAAAAAAAAATCGAACATTAAAGCGCTTAAATACTGTCCTGGCTTTAAGGATGCAGTGGTATAGAGTGCTGGTGGCTGTAGCATCCATTTGAATGCTGAACAGAGCACATTTTATAGCAGCAGAACACAGAGTGACACTGCACAAGGTTTGGTTTAGGTTGGCCTGGATAGGCATCTTCTGCTGGAGCAAAAGGTGAAGAAGCCTTCTGAAAATGTATGCAAAAATGTACTTTAACACATCTTTTAACACAAAATGTATCATTTAATAAATGTCAAAGCTGCAGCTCTGCAACTCTGGCATGCTTTTCGCAATACCCGCTGGAGAGGGTCTTGCAGATCACCCATGAACCATCCCAGGGATCAGTGTGCTGCCAGAAACAGCTCTTATTTAGAAGCCCCAAGTCTCTATAAACCCTAAGCAGAGGCACAGAGATGTTTCATACGAAGACCATAAAGGAGTTCTGCCATTCAAAAGTGCAAAAAGTTCTTGCGGTGCTGAGTTCTACTTTAATCATCAGAGCAGAAGTTGTGTCTGTCCTCAGCCACCTGCCTTGTAGCACTGGAGGATGCTTTCCCTGATGCAGACAAACAACAGCTTTATGGCTTCATCTTAGGTTTTTAATGTAAGCTTAAAGTGGGGCCAATTTACCTTACTGTGAGGAGGTGAAATAGTCTATTGGTCTAGATTTGCCTTTGGTTTGACTGAGTAGATTTGTTCTTATATTCTTGTGAGCTAACACTCAGGAATGTTTATCAAAACCAACCAAAAGTGAACTGAGCTAATCAAACAACTTTCTAGTCCTGTGCGGATGCTCTAGATCTAAGTGTCCTTAAATTGGTTTCAAACGAAACCACTTACTAATGAACAGCTCTTTTTAATTTTGAATAACTAATGCTTTTAAAAATTAAGTTAGTATATTAAGTCCTACTGTTCACTCTGAAAATAATCATCACATTTTCTCAGACCCACTAGACAACAGATGATTACTAGCTAAACAAAGATGACCTAAAGTAAATCCTCAAAGTTTTAACATCTTAATGCATTTTATGCAAAAACACAGTAAGAAAATGTTCACATGTGCCTGACTAAACAAAATAGATAGCTCCCTAGGGAAACAAAAGAGCCCCAAGAAAGGCAACCACACACCTCTTTACCTTGCTAACACCAAAATATAGCACCTGTAGAGGGGGTGAGTGGCAGCAAGGTGCAACTTCAGTTGGTCTCTTCTGATGGCAATGGCTTCTACCAGTTGCAGTCAGTGCTATTCTCTCCCAAGGGAAAGACTGCAAAGCTGTCTTTCTTGCTTAAGAAATTAAATTTATTGATGCAGATTGATTTTAGGAGAACACTGCCATTCTCACTTATGATACTCTTTTCACACAAGTTTAAAAGCATTGTATTGAGTGAGTCAGTAATCTTGATATTGATACAGATTTAATGCCGCTGAAAGAAGTGGAGTTATACAAGGATTAAACCACACTGATCCTCTAGAAATGAGATTCATAGCTTACTATTTCCAGTAAAAAGGGAGCAAAAGTTCATCATAAAACCAAAAGAGTGTGTAAACAGCTGTTAATTATGGCCTAGATACATCTAAGAGGGCTCTAATATCTATGGTCTGTATTTAAAGCAATAAAACAATGACAATAATAGTATATCGTATCCCCAAAATTAAAAAGGAAACAAATCCAAAACTAAACCACATGACTCCACATAATGACTTTCCTTTATCAAGTTTAGTAATAAAAATGCAGACTTTTACTAAAGTAGATTCATATGCCCTAGATTTAACATTTTTCCTAACACATAATTTGTTAGATCTTCCATTGGTACTGTTTTTATATAGACTGTAGATTCATTACCTACAGGCCATCAACACTATTCTCAAGAAATTAAAACCTGAATCAAACTTCCAACAGATTACTGAATTTATACACTGTGTGTATTTCAGTCTCACATTAGCCTGTTACTATGTGACTGATTCCTGATGTGAATTTTCCCATTAGCTAAGGTGGAGATTATAACTCAGAGCTGGTGTCACTGTCCTGATCTGCTTGGCAGAAGGTCTCAGTGAGCTCATGCATCTTTCCTTAGAAACCAAACAGAACACCTGTATAGCATGTGCAGTGCTCAGTGGCTTGAAACAACACAAAATACGGGCATATATGATTCTGACAATAGAACTTCTCTTTCTGACAATATGTGTTCTGCTCAGGGAAGCATTTTATTCTTCCCGGTCTAGGGAAGAGAAAGTGCTAGAAATGAATGTACAAGAATTAGATGAAAATAAATCTGGAAGAATGTCAGAAATATTGTTGTATATATGAAACTAGGAATAAAATATATGTTCTTCACTTTTCAAAAATCATGACCATACCAATTTCAATTCCCAATACCTATTTTGCATTCAAGTGAATTTTAGTAAACTGTGTTCAACTTTTTTGTTAGACTCAACCATAACAAAAGGCAAGACAATTCCAACACAGTCAATCCTTCTGTTATTAAAAAATTATGAAAAAATATTTTAGCCTTATATACAGTTGTTTAAACATTTTACTTACTCAAAATGGAGACCTTTGCCTTTATCTTACCTTGGCTACAGTTGTGATGTCATTAAACTGTGTTTTTAGTTCTTCTTGAGCAGCTTCTCCAAAAGAATCATCCTCTGTTTTTTCATACAGTTCCACAGCTTTTTCAATGAGTTGCTGTAAATCACCAGAGTGATCCTCTATCTCTGAAACAACAGCCTGGAAGTGGTCCAGCTGAGCAAACTTCTCCTTCAGACCAATCTGTGGTTCTACAGGCTGTTCCACTTTGTGATCCAATTTCTCTAACCACTGTTCCAGCTGATTTTTCCTTTCCAGATATTCATTCCACTGGCCAATGACAGACTCTAGGCAGCTTACATTAAAAGAAACATACACAGTTCAGATGAGAACTTTTGAAAAGACTGAAAAAAAGTATCTGCTTATACCTTTTTACACTGTCTGTAGCCATGTATAATATGTTTAGAATATGCTTTTTCCTCCATCTTGCTTTAGTTTTCTATGTCAAGTTATATCCAAGCTAGTTTAGAATTTCTGTGTTCTTTGGGCTACTGTGTATAACCTGATACAACTGCTTCCCTATTACAGGTTACATGAGCAATCTGTTCCTCTCAGACTAAAGAAAAGCACATTTCAGTGTCTGTCCAGCAAAGTAAAATACAGAGCATTACTGGAGTTCTTTGTGAGAGTAATAAAATGTACAGCAGCCTGTGAAAATATTGGCAATTAAGAGATATTCTGGTATGTTTTGGAAAAAAAAACAATTATATATAGTCCCATTTACAATTTATAAGAAATACTTTCTTCTTTTACATATTGCTCATCCTAGCAGATCACCAGATTACTCTAGGATTTGTGTTGAGGAATGTAACTCTCATTCCACTGGACTTAATGATAGACATGAGCATGGTAAGGATTTCATTCAAAATATAATGGTCTAGCTTAATCTAAATAATATGTCAAAAATTGGGTGAAATTAGAAAATGAAATCTTAAAGGCAGCCCATTATAATTTTCTACATGTAATTGTATTACAATTTTGCAATAAGTAAGAAATTGGCACAGCTTTCAATAGAAAAAATTACCTTTATCATGGCTCCCACCATTGACAGCTCATATTTAGGACCCAGATACCCTAGCACTCAGGTTATCTACAGTATAGATCTATGACCTTTGTGATACAGATCTGTGAGTTTCTAATGCATGGAAAAGTTTTTTTTTATTAGAGAACTAAGAAAGAAGAATCATGCAGAAGTTCACCAAGGGCCCATTTCTATCCAATAATGACTGGGATGACGGAATAGAGAGTGCTTGTAAAACCCAGAGATGAAAGCAACCAGGGAGTAGCTGTAGCTAGTTGGATGACAGGACTCAAATGTCAGATGTTCTTAAAAGGAATTTTTAAAAAATGGAATATGATGATGAAAGTAGTGCTTTACTTGGGAAGGAGAAATTAGGTATACAAATACAAAATTGGGGATAACTGCCTAGGCTTAGTACTGTGGAAAAGGATTTGGAGATAGTTAACAAAGAGGTTAACAAAATTCAACAATATGTTACTGTTGGAAAGAAAGGAAAATCTCATTATGGAGTGGATTAAGAAGAGTGTTGTACAAGGAAATGGAAAGCATTGATGCTCTATTTGGAATTAATAATGTCTCAAACACAGTAAGGTCCTCCCACTTTCAGGTATTATCTTTTAAGAAAAATGTAGACAAATTAGTGATAGTCTGTAATCTACTGAAAAAGAAACAAGGATGAAAGAGGTCCAGAAAGTCCTAGTACTGAGAAACTGAGAAACATCAGTCTGCCTAGGACAGAGATGATGGAGGCCTTCATAATTTCAGTTCAATTACATAAAATGTTCTTACACAGGCAATAAGAAAAAATTGCCATTTCTAACAAGGTTAAGACAAGAGGAAATCAGCTTAATTTGCAGGAAATATTATTGAGAGTTGATACTGGGATTTTTTTTATTTAAAAAACATAACGAAAGATAGAATTGAGGAACTTTGGTATTCTGTAAAGAAAAGGCAGATAAATATGTTACATGTTCTTGGGCTTGATCAAGTACAGGTTCAATAACTCAGAAAGCCCTTTCTAGCTTTTTCTCTGTATGAATTTCCATGATTTCTATTGATTTTTAAATTACCATCTCATATGAAATTTGATTCATCTGATAGGGTCAACTCATCTTTTTATAGAAGGATGTATTTTTTTCAGGCATTTTAATTCTCTCTAATGATACAACTGTCCCCTCACATACCAGGAATAAATTAATGGAATCCTATGTGCTGTAAAGTACCACTCTGTGTAAGCAAAGATGGCAGGGTCTGATCTGTGTTTTCCAGGGAGTTTTACCTCTGCCAGTTCATGGAGGTGCTGATGATGTCATTCCATACATCCTTCAGCGTCTGAAGCTCAGTTTGTATCACCTTTTGTCCTTCCTCATTGGTGCTTCTAAGTGCTTGTTCTCCTTTGCCAATGGCCATGTTCAGCTTAACTTCACCATCTCCTTTGAGTAAGAGGATCTCCTGTAAGGCAAAATAAATCCAAATATCAAATGCAACCTGCTGAGAAGTGACAGCTATTATTCTTTCAACAGCAGACACCATCTTTGACCTCATTTATTGTTGACAGCCTTGTCCAGTATAAATGCCTAGGCACCTTTTCTTATAAGCGCCCATCCGTTGCTATGTATAAAATGATCCCCCACAGCCATGAAGGTATTTCACTGCATTAGTCATCCCAAATGTTGCTCACATTGCATTAGATAATGAGTAGGTCAAGCACTCCACAGAAAGACAGCACCACATAGCTAGAAGAAATCTCAAGAAAGCCCTTGGAAGGATCTACACTGATGACCTTCCCAACAGATGTTTGTTTAACTTGTTTCTGAAGACCTCCTGCAACAGATATGTCACAGTCTCTCTGTGTCAATTATTCGAAGGTTCCTCCTCCATTAGAAAGCTTTTTTGGATCTGAATACACATTTTTCTAATTTGTTATTCCTTATTAAATGTAACATCTTGTATCTATCTCCATTAGTCTTTACCCTGTTTTGCATACTGCACCTCCCAATTTGTCAAGATCACCTTAAATTCTAATCCTCTCCTTCATAACCACAGAAAGAATAAAATATAAAAATATTCCTTTTCCACTGATGTGGCCCACACCCAATGTTAATCATGATGCGCAGTCTCTAGTTGTATTCTTCTTTACCTGAATTTGTGTCAGTCGTCTCTCTAGTGTGGCTTTGCTACCAACAGTGCTCTCTGATGATGCCAGTTTATCTTGAACCTCTTTCACCCATGACCACATACTCTGTAATGCCTCTTCCAAAGTGAGATGCTCTTGGAGTGCAAGCTGACATGTTCGCAGCTTCTCCTTGATAGTTTTGACCATGTTTTGATAATTGGTGAGATGTTGAGAAGCCAGGCGTACTTCCCTCCCTGCACCATGGCCTTCCTCATTTAAAGTCTGTGCCATCTGGGACAGTTTATCAAAAGATTCCCTGAGAGAAAACAATGAGATGGAAAATCAGTTTCAGAAAGCATATAACATTGTTATAGCAACTATCAGAAGTTAGAAGGTTGCTGACATAATCACCTACTCCACCAGTGACAGAATTCATAGTTAACAGAAAAATTATCTGTGAGAGACTGAAAGGAAATATAAGCAGTGAGTATTGATTAGTATCTTTACTTGTGTACAGTGCCATTTCTTGCAGATTTGGGTGATCAAAATGATCACACTGAAATCGTTGTGTTGCACATTTAAATTAAAATATAATTTAATTTTATTTTCAGCTGTCAGACTTTCCAGTTCTATATGAACTGTTACATTTTTTTTACCTGCCAAAACTTCTGAGGAGTTCATAGTCTTTGACAGGTAGAAAGGCATGATGGCAAGGTCAGGAGGTCAGGCCATTTGTCCAGGAATAGACACTGATTTTGGGCTTCAGTACAAGGGATTAAAACTGTGAGTTTATACAGCCTCCATTAATCTCAGTCTACTGGATCACCCTTCCTGACGCACTGTGATTACAGGGAGTTTACATCAGGCCAAAATGTCTTGCATCAATCTCAAGGGAATAGGTAGTGACTGGGTGTATCCTCACTAGCATCCTGTGAGGCTTGAACAACTGACTACTATTTCTGTTCTATTTTCTCCAGCCTAATAATAAAAAGAATTTGAAAAACCACTGTGTACTAAAAAAGGCAATTACTTCATCATCTGTTGGCTAAGTCTGAATTCTAGAAGGACTGTGCAGTGAGCGTGGATGTTATTTGAGCTCTTTTATAAAGTGAGCTATACAAGAAACGATATTGTGTTAACCTGGTAGGATCTGAGTGTTGCAAGACAGAAAGAAAATAATTTTTAAATGGATATAATGATGTGTCATTTTTACTATTGCTTTTACAAGCAATATTTTTAAGATTTAGTTTTACAAGCATTATTTTTTAGATTTTTTTTTAATTTTTCATTTTCCATTTATTAATAAAGTAAGATAAAATTTTACTTAATAAGAAATGTATCAACATGTAATTTTTGAGTTGGCTTCAAGTTCCAGTTTCCTTAAAAATGGAACTATCTGGATCCAGCCTCTTTTCACAGAGAATGTTGCAACACCTTTCTCTATCTTTGACAAACACACTTTACCCCAACAGTTTAGTTTCACTGTTGCTTTAGCAGGGGAAAAAGTGAGAGTATTTTAGGAAATGTATTTCATATTACCTTGAACTTAGTAACTCTTCCAGGAACTTTTCCACTTTCTGCACCTCTTTTTTCTTCTCAGGAATAAGCTGTTTGCTCTCTCCTAATGCTTCTGTGGTTATTCTTTCTTCCATGTCACGTATCCACAGGCCAAGTTTCTTCTGCTGATCTTCAAAGCTACAGAACAGATAAATACTACCTTAAAACTATTTCTCAGGCAGAGTAAAGTTAGCAAGAAGTTAACTCAGTTCTTTCAATATCCACAAGACCGGGAAAATAAAGCTAGGTATCAATTTCATGCTTCAAGAATAAGAGTTGTACACAAAACATAGTTCCACAGTGACTACTAATCTAAAAATATTCAACTCTCTAAAACTGTTCAACAAAATCATGGGAACCACAGTGAGAAAAGAAGCCTCCAAAATTTAAAGTGACAGTGCTTTTATTTTTTACTAAATTCAGTAAAGGCAGACCAAAAGAAAATTCTTTCCAAACTCTTATAATGATTTAGTCTAAGATTAAAAAATGGGTAAAAATGGTCTTTTACTCAGTATTGACACTTGAAGTATTGTGCTTTCAATTTCTCCAACAGAACATAACTGGAGCCTTGAGCACTCAGAAATTAGCAAAACAACTTCTGGCCCTAAGTCTGAAAACCTTTTCCTTACATGAAGGCACACCATCTCATCTAACAGTCTTACCCATTACTGCTTTCAGTTAGCAATATATTTGAATCTAGTTATACCTAAAAATATTTGAAATTTCAGAATTCCAGCCCCAAGTAATAATTTAAGAGTATTTTCTTATTAGCTCCTTGGAAAATATGTCCATCTGGAATGGAACTGGACAGGTGTGCTGTGTAAAAAGTGTACTGTCTTCAAACCTCAGGGCAGAACTTGAAGATTCATCATATCTTTTCCCTCCAGGAAATTGCATTTAAATTACTGAGACCTAAACTGCTAATTTGGGATTGTATGAGCTACACAGATTTTCCACATACATGATCGTGATCTTCCATTCTTTAACCAAATCAATACCATTGGAGCAGGACCTGTTGCTTTGTTTTTAGCAAATAACTTAATTTTCTCTTAAATATTTCCAAAGAAAAAAGAAAAAAGGACTAGAGTAACTGGAAATAATTTCAAATTGTGCCCAGTACTTCTGCAGCTGAACAATTTCATGCAGTCCATCTGTGATTACTGGTATTACTCACTTTCCCAGGTGTGAGGCACAAGCTTCCAGAGCCTTCTTATCATTCAGACACTGGTTGAGGAATTCCTGGAAGTTCTGGTTAGACCTCACTATTTGGTCCTGAATATGGCTCACAACTGGTTTTGGTAAGCAAGCATACAAACTTTCACCTTCCTTGCAGGCAGCATCTAACTTGTTCTGTCCCTCGCTAACAGAATCCATCACAGTCTGTTAATGAAAGAAAACAGTTTAAAGATGCAAGATTTAGTTACTAAAGACGAGCAATATTTCTATTAGAAGTGGTCAGATTTCCTCAACAAGACAAGAGCCATGTCTAGCTATGAAAAAAATTCCAAGCAGATAGTTCAAATAAAATTTTATTGTGGGGCTACAATTCACAAAGCTCAGTTTTCCTATTTGATCCCAAGGTATTCCTGTCTTTCTCTGGATAGTTTAGTCATGTCCTGAAGATGTCTTACATTTCAGGAATTAGAGCTGTTTGCAATAGGTGTCTGCTAGTTGTGTTCTGTCCCATTAAAAATCTAAACAGATAAACTTTGACATATTAGTGTTAATCGGAAAGATTGAATAAGCAATAGTGTAAGAAAATACAGGAAAAGGAAAAGAAGAGAAAGGAGGCAAAAAAATGAAAAAAATATTAAAAATCAGAAACAAGAACAGTTTAGTTACACATAAATCTTCCAGAAATTAAATTCTGATCTCTCAGAACCATGAACAGTTTTTGCTGTATTCCCTCTGCAGTACATATTGCTGTCTTAAACCATTCTTACATTACATTTTCGGAAACAAAACCAATAAATACGATAGCATCTACAAATTATTTTAGAAATATAATTGAATACATATAGTTAAATTGCTAATTACTATTTTTTTAAATTTGTTTGCTATACCTGCAAGTCGTGTAGCTTTGCCTCTATGACGCTGCTGTCTCCAGACCTGTCAGATGATTCTTTTACTGCAGCCTTCACACCAGAAAACCATTCCTGGAATTCTTGCATAGAATCTTATTTAATAAAAAGTACAGAGAAAAGAAATTTTTTTTAAGAAGCAGCATTATCCAGAATACTATACAGCTGTCTTCCACAATTTTTTTATCCTTCAGGAACAGCATGTAAATGCTAACAGGATGAGTCTCATTGCCTTCAGTGACCTTGGGAAATGGGATCCATTTCACAAAAAGTTAGATGTTTCCACTGTAAATATCTAAATTTGAACAGTCATACTAGGCTCCCCTTTATAGTCAATGGGAAAAGACAGGCATTTTCAGTCCGTGGTATGTCACAATTTAATGTTCGATAATATCTAGATTAACATCTTAATATATGAGAATAAAAATTTCCTACTTCACTGACTATCCAGGGAGCTCAGGAAATATTTCAGATGGGGACTTTTACATTATAAACATCCCCATTTGGCTATATACATGTGTTTATGGCAAATACACAAAGGGTATGTATGCAAGAGTTGTATACTAAGAGTGAAGAAAGGTGGAGCTGAGCTTGGCTTTCATGCATATTATGTGTTTAAAGTTGAATTCTGTTTTTGTAAAATGAACATTTGGTAACAGTACTTTTTCAAAGGCTCCATACAAAAATAAAGTTGTAATTGCAAGTGACATCACTGGAAACTGGCAGACTCCAGAATGATTCATGGCTGTGGGCTAACAGGTCATATTAACAAGCCTGAAGACTCACGAAGGAAATGTTTTTCCAAGGACTCTTGCATGCTGGCCTGTGTTCTGGAACAGAGCAGATTCACAGCTTCATAATTTTTTATTAATGAAGTGACAGTGCCACCAAGAGTTTCCAGTTCTACAGAATGGTATTTGCGACACAGGCTGTTGAGGTTCTCACGGGTCGAGTCAATGCTGCTCTGCTGAAGCTGAAGGTCTTTTTGTGTTTCCTGAAAACGAAGTTGAAACACAAATATGACATTTTCAAAGAAACAAAAGAGCCCTCTCTTTTCCTCAAGCATTCCTGCTCCTCCCACATGCTCTTTTCTCCTATGGTCTATTGCAAGTCCTAGACATAATGAAGGGAAGAAGTACTGGATTGTTTCCTGAATTTTCCAAGTGAGATGAATCCTTGAAACTAAAGAGCCATCACAGAAATGTGAAAAATGCTGTTTCTTATAGCTTACTACTCTATTAAAAAAAAATTCAAGGCATATTGAATAGCAATAATTATTTTCAGCAAAGTCTGAAGGTACATGTGAGATGCAATATGATACTGGTATTTGGTGGGACTTCTGAATGAAAGGGAGTTTTCATCTGATTAGAGAGGCACATTTGTTTGAAAATTAGATTTGAATTGGCTAGTGTATAAACATTAACGTACTCACGCTGAAAAAACCTCCATATGGTTTGTCATGTTATGATGTGCATAATTGTATGCAATCAAGAGAGCTCTAGGATGTATGCAAAAGAATTGCTATATATGAGAATGGAGGAGGACTTTTGAGGTATAAGTTTGTGTTAAAAGTGAGTTCAGTCCAGGGTCTTTTAGTGTGATGAGTTATAAGTTCATAATTTATATTGCAAGGGGGTCAATGGATTTATAAACATGCTGGAGTAATGACTGGAGAGTTCAGTGTAACAAAACCAGTTCTTGTCACAACAAAGACCATATTATTCATTACAGTTTTCTAAAAGTTAATAAATCAGAACTTTTGTTCTTCAGTGGAACTTCCTAAAAAGTATCACTATTATTTACTAATAGTCTCTCTAGACATTTTTTTATGAAATGAAAATTAAGTATAATGATTAGCAAAAACTCTGATAAAACAAACAAACAAACAAACAAACAAACCAACCAAAGATCACTGCATAAGATAGTGCATATTTATTTTCTTCAGCACCGACCTTCACTTTATTTAGAGCTTCAGGATTCAGGTTACGTGCACAGCTTAACAGTGTTTCTTCCACTTTTGTTAACCAGTCTGTCATCTGATCAATAAACTTCTGTAACTGCATTTTCTGAGTACAGAAATCTTTCAGTGTCTCCTTTGCTGTCTCTGACATTTCTTTGGCATGTTCCAACTTCTGCCTCAAATCTGATTCTATAAACTAAAAGCAAAATGTTATTATTAAAAGCATTTAAATAAAACATTTACTATGTTAAGTGTTTATTGAAAAAATAGAAGGTAGGAAAGTGACACACAATGATCATTTTGCTCTCTTAACATCCTTAACTAAAGATGCTTACATAATAAAAAATGAAAAATTAAACAGTTGAGCTTTTTCCTTTAATAATTTGCCATATATACAGAACTTGACCTAAACACAACTAGCTCCATGAAAAGAAACATCATTTGGTGAGACCTAAGAGCACTGAGGATTGAAGTATCTCAATGTGAGGCAGATTAAAACTGAAGACAATACAAAAATAAGTTAGAATATTGCTAGTTATCCCCAGTAAAATAAGTTAGAATATTAGATTAATATTTATAAATGAGCAGTTACTGAAAACTCTATTAAGGAATTGTTCATGTTAGGATATGAGCTGATCACACTGTCATTTACTTATTTAGTATTTGAATGTGGGCAAATAATTTGTGGATTCATGTTTAGTTTGTGAAGCTTTACTTTCAAATTTGCATTTATAAATCAACTATAATTATTGCAGGTATGATATAATTTTTAATTGTATTTATCATATTTAGTAGTTGGAAATAGGTGTGTGTTGGTTAACAGTGATATTCTGCAAAATAATTTGCTCTAGGTTTTGCTTTATAAGTGGACAGATATTTATTATGAATCATATGACTAAACCTGAATTTTCTGAACCTCTCATGTAAAGGAAACAAATTTGGGAGAACATAAGTGCTTCCATATAATTTGCACATCTTTATACTATATGGTTTTTGACGCATACCTGATTGGTAATTTAGTCTTATGTGTGCGGTCACAGCAAAATATGGACAAGGCTTGACTGTTGTATTAAGTTCCATTAAAATCTGATAAATGGTTTTAAAATAAATATCTATTGAGATATTTCCCTGTGGAAATTGCAGAAGTAAGCTTATCTTTTAAAACTTCTAACATTGAAAGTGAATAATCACACATACCAATTTCCATTTGAAATCAAACATCCAAAATAGTCATAACCTTGGTTTTGCATCTGTCCTAGAACATAAAAAATAAGGACCTAGACAATAATAAAAGTGACACAACTCACCTTCAGTGTTTGTATTTTACCCCTCTCCTGTAACAGCTAGTTCAGAGCACTAATTCCAGTCCACTAATGAATACTTTTGGTTTGATAAAGCAAATGAAGATATTTCATTGCACTATAATTCTTTCACAGAGGCAAACAGTGCATGCACTCACATATGATGTGGCTTAATGCTGTGCAGGGTGGAGAATATCATGTCTCATATCTGATCAGCCACATTCTTAACTATGTACTATATTTAGTACATAGATTTAGTAAAAAATACTTTTACAACTGTAATGTTCAATTACTTTATGGCTTTTTCTTTCAGAAAAAAAAAAAACTAAGTTGATTAAAATATGGACAAAGAATATTTATGATACATATAAATACTGCTATATGTCACACTGAAGGAATTTCAGTAGAGTCTCATATACAGGAGAGTCAGAAATTTCAGGAATTTCTTCTTAGCGATTTGAGCAGTCTATGATTACCAATATATTTATTTTACCTGGAGATCTGCAGGAGGATCTTGACTATGGGTCAGTTCTTTGAGATCTGAAATTTTGGAACTAAGCTGATCCAACTTCAGTTCTTTATCCTTGACTTCAGACTGTAAAACAGATACGGTCAGAGGTTCGTATCAAACTATAAGAAGGTTTTAGACCTTCAGAAGGATGCTCCTTCAATTGCAAAAATTAAAGAAAATGTAAGCAAAGTTTAGCAACCAGAGGGAAAACACTGTTGTTCTATTTTCTTCTCTAAAAATCTCCCATCTCACTTCAGACATCTTTTTTCTCCTACATTAAAATAACCACACACATTTTTATTATCTAAAATGCACTAACAGCTTTAGTTTCTTAAAACTGACTGAATAAAGACAGGAATGTCATTGTTTATTCCACTGGAAAAATCTACTGTGGTTGTTAGGTTCCACTTAATGGCATGCAAAGTATAATACATGTGCTCTCTGGTTATTATTACAAGGAAGTGAGCTCTTCGAAAAAAATTAGACACAGAAATAAATTTTAACCTCAAAAGGGAATTAAAAAATGCTGCTATATATGCACTGACATATCTGGACCTTGTATTTATTGTGGTTATAGAGATCCAAGTTATAAAGAAATATTCTACTTATTAAAAAAAAAAAAAAGCAAAGTGAAAGAGATAATTATAAATTGTATAATTGTAGTTCTAAAGTATTAGGCAAGTAATTGGTGTGTCTATCCTATTACCCAAACTTTCTTTTCTACAAAATTTGAATAGATCACTCAAATTAAAAGATTGGACAGTGGATTTCAGGATTAAATCACTGCACTTATCATCTGCCCTGAATGGTAGAAGTTCAGGTGGCCTTAGAAGAACCCTCAAGGCGTATTTTGTGCTAGGGAGGATATAATATTAGGTGACTGATCAAGAAAGCAACCACTGCTACGGGCCATATAAAAGGTACACTGATTATTTCTGTCCATGCTCATCTATTTCTGATTGCTGAAAGGGCAGGACTCTTCTGCCAGTGAACTGCCTTACCTCTTGCCTTTGCAAAAGAAAGTGCAAAAAAAGTATTATGGACTATGCATTCCGTGAGTGCAAATGTATGCACAGTGCTCATGTCTTCTATTCTGGCCCTCCTGTGAATCAGGTACACCTGTGGTTTGGGTACTTGCTGCTCCTACTCCAAATGAGTTTTAGTAGTGATGAATTTAGATGGTCTGATTGTTACACGAATCAGAAAGACATTAGATAAAGCTTGTTCTGAACAAAATACTGGTTTAGCACCTTTTCATATTCTATCATAGTACTTGTATATGTTCACTGTTCATCTTAAGGACATAGTTTATTTCAAATGAAGTAAAACATGGCACATTCTATGGTTTATCTTCTGTATATTTTAAGCTAATAGAGGCAGAATGCATCCTGAACACTGGCTAGATTTCTAAGACAGTTTAACATTATCCAGAAAAGAAAAATATCATCTTACTGAAACTGCTAGAACCTGACATTGAAATTTGCCCTCCAGTTCAGCATATCTTTTTTATTGTCTGAAGAATCCACCTTCTTAGATGAGATTTTTAGAAACTACTCATATTTTTGCTTAACTTCAGCTGAAGTTGTCTAAAATTTCCATCAGTTTCTACTGGAACAGAGTTCAGTCCAATTACATGCTTTTCAAAATTTTTGTGCTTGTAAGAACACATTGTCATGTACTGCTAGAGCCAAAATAACTACAGAGCTTAGACTTAGTAAGAGATACGCTGTTCTTGTTTATGTCGGAAGCAAATAGATTCAAGAAAGGACTGGAATGCTGTCAGGTAGACAATGGGTTAGTGGTACCACTTCTTGAACAGGGCACATGGTGGTCTACAACCACATGGCCTTATCTATGTGCCTGATATCACTTAAGATTTTGGTCCAGAACATTTTTATCACTGATTTATGGGTAAGCACCTGGAAGTCTTTCAGGAGGACCTCCATTCTCTGACTGTTACTCAAGTTGCTGATGCCTTCATTCAGTTGAGAAATGCATTTATTGCACCATCCATCCATTTCATCTCCAGTTTTCAGGATGTCATCCCACAGAGCCACATTCACACTTAGCTGGTCAATGTTGTTTTCAATTCTTTCAGACACCTTTTAGGAGAGGAGAATGTATCAATACCATTCACAAATTAATTTTATATGTCTTTATTTTGCAGTCAGTTACAAGATAAGTTCATCAGAAATAATTAGTAAGCCTAGGTGAAATAATTTTCTTAGAATCAGGTCTAAGTTCTGAATCCTGATTACAATGTAGTTAACCAGATTGTAAATTGAACAAAAATCATATGTGACTATGTAAAAATTAGTATATTTTTCACTGGGAAAGAGTTTTATGTTCAAATAAACTTTATCTTTAAAACCAGCTACATTTATCTTTCTTCTGTAATGTAGGAATTTGCTAATAAAGCAGTATAAGTAAGAAAATGTGAAATATTAGCTTTTATATTACATTTCTCTGCTGTAATGTTGTCTTTCTCAACATAGTCACATCTTTTATGGTGTAGCTCATTATATTTACTGCCTAATTTATTTAGTCCAATTTATTTTAACAAAGTAACACTAGCATACATTAGATGAGAATCCAATCCAAATTTATACTCAGAAGTGTGCACTGAGCAAATTTCTACTAGTAACATTCATACCCTGTTATAAGACATCATTTAAAATCTATCAAATGGATGTAACAACTTTGTGTGTACAATCTATGCCAAATTCCTATGATTAACCCTTTGAGACACACTTAAAAGTAAACTTTACTCAACAATTGCACTCTAAGATCCTAAAAATAATACTAGCACTGTAACCTTAGCCCAACTTAAAAACTATTCAGTGTATAAACACCAGAGTCTTACATCTAGCCATTTGTCCACAGTAGAGTTCATATCTGTTTTTACCGCAGTGGAGTCACAGTTATGCACTCTTTTTAATTCTGTTAACAAATGTTTTCCTTTATTGGTGAAAGTATCCAGGTCTTTTTGTTTATCACTCAGATCATTCTTGGCAGCTTCATGCTGTGGACATAAAATTTGCTTGTTTAATGAAGCCTTAAGAAAGAAAGAAAAATCCAGTTCTCCAGGCACCCATCCCTTGCCCTGTGGTACATGTTATGCATTTGATAATTCTCATTCAGCACACCATCTAATATTTAACTATGTCACTAAATACAGAACAACTGACATGGTTTTCTCATAAGCATAATCAAATAATATTTTGTTCTTATAAATAAAGTACACAAATGGGAATAATGAATTCTGAATTTTCCCCACTTGTTAACAAGCTAGCTTCAGGATTTAAAGCAAATATTTTTTATATTATTCTTTTTATTCTTCAGAATCTACATGTCTAAAATTGAATAATAAGAATCCATTATTGAAGTGCTAAGGCTTGGACAACAGGCCCAAACCAGAGTTGACCTATAGATGAATCCTCTATATTTTATAACTGATAACCATTGTGCTAGTAGCTATTGTGCTAGGTTATAACAAACCACCTATGCTGATGTAAAAAGTGTTAAAGTGTTGAAGTACTGAAGTACTGAAGCCTGAACAACAGGCCCTGAGCCAAAGCTGCTAACTTAGTATGTAATCATTAGTGAAATACGTATGCTCGTTAATGAAAGATGTAGCTTAGGTATCATAAAACATGTCTATCTGAATATATATTTATCCTTCTTTGTGTAGGGGCAAGTTAAGAAAGCCATGGAGCCAGCTGTCTGGCCTTGTGACCAGATGTGTGACCTTGCTCATAAATAAATTAGATAATCAGGGAAACTCTCTTAGCTTTCACCTTGAGCCCTGGCCAGGGTCTGGAGGAATCTAATCAGAGAGTGAAACCGGATGTTTCCGCTCAAAACAAAGGTGCCAGTTATTCTGGCTTGCTGATTTTTGGGTATATAAGGCTGGACTCACTTGCAGCAACTTGGAAGCCTCACCTACGGGTGGTCGCACCGCGTAGGATTTCCCCCTTGCCGGGACAGGCTCTGCAAACCCTCGCTGTAACCGGGGCTGCCCAGCCACTGCGGGTCTGGGTGATGGTAACGTATGCAAGTGGTGATGGATCTTTTCTTAATCACTGTTCTCCCTCTCATGAAGTAATGATTTGATGCATTACCCTGTATTTTCCTATTTGTTTAGGAGCACTATTCTGTCTTTTCTTATTGTATGTTTTCTGCATTACTCTGTTACATTATTTGGTTATCCCCAGTAAAATATGCCTGCTCTTTTCACTCTAGTGTCCGAGTTTAATTGATATCCTTAATCAGCAAAACAATTATTGACTAAAACATATCTAAAATCAGTTCTGGAATTACATCAGGGTAAACGGAGGTGCTGCAAACAAAAGTTAGAATCGTAAAACCAACCCATCACTCCTAGATACTCTGGAAAACAAAAGTACAGATGCGTTCAGAGAGAAATTAGGCAAAATCCTCAGGGCTACTAAGTTTGCAATTCCAGGTGTAGGGAAATCTTTAAAACACTCACTAAAGAGGTGACAACTGAGAAAGGATAAAAGTAAGCATCTCATACTTTTGTCTTTAACAAGTATTACAGATCAGCATTAGGGACAAGCTACTCATCTGGCTACAGTATGGCCATGTGGCCATAAGTACTTTATTATAGTAGGAGGTATGCAAAATATTTATTGCATTCCAACTCCTTCAGGCCTAGATGTGGCCACTGTTGTAGCAGGAAATTCTCCACAGCCCAAGGCTCACATCATTAAGAGAAATCATATGGAAATTACCTGCATTTCTTTGTTAGACTGGTGAGATCTGTTTGGCTTTTAGTTCTAGTTAAAATGTCCATTTAAAAGAGCCATAAATACACAAAGTTTAGATAAGGTTTATACAGATCTGACTGAAAAATTTTTAATGAAGAGCTCTAAAAGCTTCCAAATGAAAATTACCCTCTGAATGAATGGAAAGAATTTAACTCAGAATGGTTTTTCCTGACAGGCTGATGGATAGCAGAATTTAAAATGTGAGAAATATGATCCAGTGAAATGAATAGAACACTGGAAAGAGACAGATATTTACTTTTTCTTTTGTTTCTATTATTTTGTTGACTTGTATCTATCAAAAAAGCTACCCCATATGAATAAAACTTTGAAATATGTTGACTGGAAATATCCTGTCATACTATGTTAACAATATATTCTCAAGCTATTTTATATAAAGAGCAGATAACTTTTGCTTTCCATAATAATTAACATTTTGCATTTCTAGGTGTTACAATTATAAATAGCAACAATCAAATACACATTCATCAATCTCACCAAAATGCTGAAAGTACTATATTCTTTCCTCATCAGAATCAGTACAATTTGAACTCTGAATGTCAGTGTGACGAGATTTGATAGTAAATTCAAGAAACTTTAAACGCATCTGAAGGGCACATTTCAAACAGAAAAAAATATCTAAAACAAAATAATTTAAACCCCTCAAATGAAAATATATGTAATTACCCTTGATAAAATTCGCCTGACATCTTCACGATCCTTCCAAATGGATTTGATCACAGAAGCACTGTCAGCACCGTCTATGACTTTCATTACTGTTGACTTCAAGGTCTGATATTCCTTCATCAGATCAATAAGAATGCAGGATTGCTCCTTTCTGTAATGTGAAAAGGCTGTGTTAGCACCATTTTCTGTCATGTTTCTGAAGGAAAGAGAATGTGACGTAGTGATTCACCATGGGAAAGTCAAGATGCAGTGCTAAAAATGTTTTGGGCAGCCAAGGAAATATTAATATTTAGGTTTTACAAATCACTGTGAGTCAATACATCACAAAACATCTCACTCAAGAGACAGTCTATGAATCACCTTCTCATCTAGATCAGATATGAAAGGAACTGACTTGAACAAAAGAAAAGACTGAAACTGGAATTCAAGCTTCTCATTTCTTAAGTTTAGCATCTTACTGACTGGAAACCACACTATAATGATGCTGGCACTCACAGATCATTTTTTGTTAACCTGTTTCTCATGGAGTTTTTTTGGGTAAAAAGAAGCAGAAGAAAAGACCAAAGCAATGCCAGGTAAGTCTGACTATTTTGTCCTTCAATTGTCAGATGCATGATTTTGGGTCTAAAACATTACATTTAATTTACCTGTCATTCTACTGAGAACAGAATAGCATACTGCTAAGAAGAGGCCTCATTTCTTTCTACTCCCTGACCAGAAAATCCTATTTCTGCTCAGACGATGGACAGAAATAAAAAAACCTATTCAATCCATTCCTGGTGTTTATACTGAAGAGAGAGAAGGAAGACTAATACTTTGGATGTGTTTAGTTGTAGAACAATGTTTGTCAATGAAAGGAATTTGGGAAACATAACATTGCCAAGAAAGAGAAGTAATTGCTTTAGGAGCTGGCTCTTCTCTGAATCCTCCAAAGACCTCTCCAAGATAATCAGATTCAGGAGGGTCTAAAATTGTGTCTATATGAGAGAGAAAACAGTTCCCAAAAATTAAAATTAAATTGATAATTTAAACAAAAATTAACATTATTTTTATATTAGGAAGGAATCAAAAAGTACCTGAGTATCTTTCAGTTTTAGATATAAAGATGGCAACAGCTCCCCCAGTATATGAAAACTGGACAACTCATTTACCCTCAATAATAGACCTATAAGGCAGGGACATCTATTTTATGTTTTCTTCACTACCAGGCTGGTACTGTCTAGCTTCTGGCCCATGTATGCGGAAATTACTTGCTTTACTATTATTAAGGACTTCTAGAGGTAAGAAAAATGGCTTGCAGCAACACGCAACATGAAATATAAATTATCAGCAGTGCTGAAGAAAAAGGAGCGATGGACATTTTTAAATAAAGCTATCATTTTCTTCCACATATTTCAGATTTATACATCTCTGAAAAATGCAACAGAAAACCAGGCTGAAGTCAGCTGGAGAAAAAACACCAAAAATGCAATTCATGTAGCTGTGTGTATTTTCAAGGGGGAAATAATACACAGATCTGGTTAAGGAACAGCATATTTACAAATATCTGTATGGTATCAATCAAGAAAATAGAGTAACAGTACACTATATAAACCAAAGGGGGGAAAAAAACAGTTTTCAGCACAAATATTTTTTAAAAATCATTGTTCTAGTACACTATCCCAGCAGTTACATGGGGATCACCAAATTGCATATGTCCATTGAAATATCAGCCAGGCTAAAACTGTTTTTCTTCTGCACTTAGACAAAATTTATGTACATTGAAGACGATGTAGTACTGACTGAATTTAACACGTAGTATTACCATGCAAATTTAAAAAAGAACATTTGAAGAAGTTTTCTTTAGAGATGACGAAGAGGCAGCTAAGATAAAGAAAGGGGTAAGATGAAACATTCTTTAGTTTCTTTACTTCCCTTCTTTATCAGCTCTCATTGATATACAAAACTGTCTTATATCACTGATTATACACTAGTGATTGTTACCAGCCTGGTCCCTTAGGCAGACAGAAAGACTTAAATGTAAGAATGATTTAGGACCACTGAATACAGGGTTGTTAGAAACCCATATCCAATGGAGGAGAAAAATACATGCTAAAAGGAGTATGTGCTAGTTGGAGTGATAGTGAAATCTCAATGGAAATTTCTTACTTTCAGGAGAGTAAACAGTAAAATGCAACTAAAAATCCAGTATAAGTACTGTCCTGAGGACCTATCTGTAGCTTTATTAATAGTGAATTACAATGGGTACAAATATCCTGATTTATACTGTGTTTTATCTTTAACTCAGTATTTAATATACACGCCCTGCTTTTTACTAGCATTAATATGGCAAGAAAATATTAAATGTGAGTAACTGGGACTCTTTCCCCCACTAAAAGAACCCTCTCCTTTTTCACCTTAAATCTAAGATATACTTACTTTTCATGTATAACTTTCTTGGTATCCTCCCACAGAGATTCTAAGCAATTTATCTCTTTGTCAATCTCAGGAGCAAGTGTGAAATCTTTTTGGGCTATTTGTTTTCCTCTGTCCCTGAGCCACTGGAGTTCATGCTGGTGAGAATTCAGTTCTTCATCTAACTGGGTAAAGATCCTCAATCTGCAAATGAAAATGCAGGTTTCAAATTTACTTATCTACACTTTTTTTCAAAATAAAAAAGGAGAAAAGAAGAATGAAACAGTTGCTGTTAAGAGTTACTGTGCATCAAGTTCCCTTTTTCTAACATTTCATACAATATCTTCAGAAAACAAAAGTTTTATCCGGATTTTTTTCTGCTACAACTGGGCTCAGAATGTCATTTTCCTCATACATATACAGCTATACAATTATATAGATATACCTATACCTTCACCAGACACAGTAACTTGTAAATATACTCAAATATATAGACAAATACTTTTTTATAATGTGTTTTCAATTCCTTCAGCACATGTACAGTCTTCAATTCTGTAAGAGCAAAGATAGTTATGTTATATGGGATTTCTAATACCTGTTTGGAGCTTGGATTTGATTTGGACAAAATACATTTCCTAGACAAAGGTTTTCATGATTTTTCTTTCAATATAAGAGATTAGTGGGACTTTCTGAGTGTTCTGCTCATGTTCTCCCTCCATCCAAACAGTTTATTTACTTACAAAATTTTATTAAGTAGCTATATAGACATGTCATATATGCCTGGCAAGAAGTAGGGTACCCAGGCAGAAAACTCACACATGCCTCCAATGCTCCATAAAAAGTCTAGAGACTGAAAGCAAACGAAGAAGTGCCAATCTCAAGCATTAATATTGTTTTAACCTTTGCTGAAGGGCTTGTAGTGTTGCCTCCTTCAGGGCCTCCTTGTCAGCCTTTTCTTCAATATCTTCAATACTTTTCAGTAACTGTTCTTTACGTTCCATGAAAGATCTTTGCAAGGCTCCCAGAGCTTCTGCTTCACTCTGTTTGGTTCCCAGCAGGTTTTGAACTGCCTCCAGTTCCAAGCACAGATTATCCACCAGAGCCCTGCAGGAGGTCCTCTGCTCAGAAATGCTGTGTTTTAAATGATACTGGGCCTTAGTAAGGGAACCATCCAAACTGATTGCAACAGATTCCAGCTTGTTAAGATCTTGAATAACATTACTGAGTTCCTTCTCCAGTAATTCAGATTTAGCTTTATCCATATTTCCTGTTTTCTCCACTGCCTGTCTCAGCTGGTGGAGCACTCCTGATGCAACACTATGGTGCTCTAGGAATACCCGTAGGTGATCCAGAGCCTCTTGTCTTTGGCTAGTTATTTGACTTGCCTCCTGGAATATTTGAAAGCAATCTTCAGTCTTTCCCTGCAATGTCTGCTGGTCCTCTGGGCAGCTGAAAGAACACAATTTATCTACATGTTCCTTCAGACTTTGTAACTGCTGTTTCTTACTTTCGACTTCCCTTGAGTGATTCTATGGGAAAGAAAGAAAATAGGGCTGGGTTTCTTCTTCCAGTCAAAAGCTCAGAAAATATTTTGGTACTAAACTTATGAGAAAAAAAATTACTGCTAAGGGGTTTTCAGTAAGAACAATTCAGTGTTACCGTTTTGCTTTAAACTGGTCAAGTTACAGAAATCTGTGCGTGACTGCAACAGCCTATCAGTTTTCAAACACATAAATGACTTCATGCTAGTTTCAGACAAATATTTAGCTCAATGCACTGTACATTTTTCTCTCTTTAATATTTATATCCAAAAGTTTACCTTATTGTGAGATGCAGCTAGTTGTTGATCAGCTGTGTTTATCTCTGAAGTGGCTTGTAGTTCAGCAAGAAACTGCTTAATCCAGTCTGAAAACCTGAGCAGGAGCTCATCAAACTGCTCATGCTCAGCAACAAGAGACTGAAGAAAGTTGATCCTATAGGATATCAGAGGTAAATATGAAAGCACTTGATGTAAATTTATCATAATCAATACCACGGCTGACTGGACTGTATTAAAATCAATGACAGGTGGAAGGAAAGAAGGAAATGTTAATTTATGTTATAAATGTGATGACTGCAGTGTTGATTTCTTAACTGGGGAATAACATAACACTTGAAAGCACCAGTTTGGCTCCTTTGCATTTCTACTGCTTTATTCATATCAACTGTTAGAAGTGCCCCAAACAATCAAGGTATATTCAGCTTTTCTTCATGGGGGTCGTCCCAGCAAAGAGAGTGATACTGATGGAAGCTAAACTTCAATTTTCAGACATAGCAATTGTGTTTGCTCTATCATCTGCAACACTGCATGTAAGGTGAGAGCCTCATGAACTCAGGCAGGGGATGAGTAACTGCAAGCTCAACTTCCACTGAAGTAACTGATGGTCAAGTCTCCTCAGAGGAACACAGTTCAAAGGAGGAAAGTGTCCAGAGGAGTACTCAGCACCTAGTAGAACCTAGCTAAAATTTGACCTTAAAAAAAGGCCTTGTCATTTACCTTCCCATTTCCCTTAGAAATTTATCTACATAATTTTCAACATACAATACTATGTAGAAGATCATTATACTGTAAAACAATCATATTGATAAAGAACATAGAAGATGATGTCACTGACCAGGGTCTATTATATAAGCTTCTTTACAAATAGTAAAATATGTATGTTCATCACCAAAACAACTGAAATCTAAATATGTCATATCATACAGTTTCAAAAAGGAGGCAGTGTTCCTGATGGTAACATGAGCCAGCACTTGAACATTTATCATATTTATGGCAAATGAAAACTTCAAAGTGGTTTTAAAAAGATAATAGTGTGACTTTGCACAAGATACAGCATATAACTTGAAAAATGAAGAGCAAATGTAACAGATTTTGGAAGTAACTTACTTGGGAAATTCTAACTAATGAAATACATTATCTTCATTTCCTGCCCCACACTCCTTCAAACAGAAATCTTCTATCAAAAAAGTAGTGAGACATTATACCAAAAAGATAGTGTGATTAATCTGTAGGATTCCCCACACCCCATTCCTGGTATCTCAGGGTTCACTATGAATATTAAACTGTTGTTTTCCTAAGGGTAATACTGTAAAAAAACTATTCCAAGATTCGGATTCCTCATCTAGATACTGGTTACTCTCACTTAACATGTAAAAAACATTCTGAACTACAAACCTTTTATCAACAGTTTTTGGTAAAGCTTTCCACCTCTCATCCAGCTCTTCAAATTTTTCTGTTATTGTTTTCACATGCTGTTTGGAAGCTGTTGGGAACAGTGACTCATTTAACTGTATTAGGCTTGCATAGATGGAAGCATGGGACTCAATGTCTGCTCGCAAATTCTGGGAAAACAAGGGAATGTACAGCCTTTAGATTAAATATGGCATCACAGTATGCAAAATAACAAAAATAAAAAATCAGCTAGGGATTTCCAGTACACCACTTTGAGGCAAGTGAATGAGCACAGTCAAATCCTTGGAGGAATTGAGGTCTATTAAGACAAGCAGGTATTCAACACCCCTCAGACAGCTATATATGCAACTGTAATTCAGTAAGGATCTATCATGGTTTTTTTTTCCCCTTTAGGACAAAGTGTGACCTTTTCACACAGCTCTACTGTATGATGAAAGTGGCTAAAACCAAGACCAAGTTTTGCAACATATTTTGTGTGCAGCAATAGAATTGTGAGGAAGTGTTGCAAATTGGTCCAAACAAAATAATGAAACCAAAAATAATTTTCCTTCTCTTCAGCAATATTTAAAACTGATATTATGCACACACTGGCTTCATGGAGGCATGGAGGGTGTACAAGATGCTACTTTTGGCCAACTGCTTCATATTAATCTAAAAACAAGTGGCAAAAATTCCAAGAAAAGGCATACTTTTGAACAGGATGAAAGTCTTGTGTTTAAAAAAAAAATTAAAAAAATCAGACTTTCATTGTGAGCTCAAAACCTTTGGGAGCTTTGTCATCTGAGAAGCTTTCCTCACATGCAAGAAAAGGAAAGTAACATTGTCTAACATTTCTATAGAAAAAAGATCCTCTGGTGGAAGACCAGTGTCCTTCCTTGACACATAATAGGATATACTAGGGCATTATTTTTCTTGAGACAGCATATTATGTTTGAAAATAGTATTATTCCTCTCATTTTCTTGTCTTTGATAAATAACAACAGCAATATACTTCCCCAGGACATTTCCAAAGCCCAGAATCAAATGATTTGTCGGGCTACAACTGAGCAAGCCTATCCTTTAAAAGACACAGAAACAAACCAGGAAATGTAGGGTGACAATCTTCCAGTTGAAACGTACCTGCAGTGACTGCAGTTCACCTTCCAGTTTAACTCTGTCAGCAGAAACATACTGCTCTGGAGGCCTGGCTGTAGCTTCACACCCATCCAACCAGGTCAGAAAGGCGGACAGCTCCTTCTCCTGCCTAACAAAATCACAACACAGGGTTACCAGCTCAAGTCATACCCTTGGTCTCACACACTGACCACAGGAAGGTCTCTGTGTCCACCATAGCAGATGTGAGAGTCTACTCACTTCTGCCACTGAGCCAGAAGAGTCTCTAATAAGGTCTGTTTCTCTTTAGCATTTGCTAGCACCTTTTCGTATTTCTGCTGTAATGCAGTAACCTCCTGAGCAGCTTTTTCTTTCTTGGCCACCTTTCGGGCACAGGCTGAGAGAGAGGCCAGAGTGTTGTTCAGCTTTTCTAGAGTATGACAAAGGTCCTAAAGAACATGTAAAAGAAACAGAAGTCAAATACATAAACAAGAGAGCTACACAGTGGGAAAATTCTGTACTTCTACTTGAAGTCTGAAGCAATGCTACATCCACCAGATCATGAAGTCACTGCACAGTTTACATGTCACTCAGATATATCCCAGGTGCATGTCCCAAGCATATCAGTCAACTAGCTTGTAGTGGGGAAAGACTTTCCTTAGAACAATGTTAAAGAAAAAACAGTCAGCAACAAAAGGGCATGTGACACCACATGATCCTGTAGGACAGAACTCCAAATTCCCTAACATCTGTCTAGTAGTTGTTCTGGTTTATAAATATACAGTAAATACAAAAGCTCACTCCAACATGTGAGGACTGCCAGACTTGCAGCCCATGTCATGACATGTGAGAGGTGAGGAACAGTTACTGTTAACTACTGTGAACTTATGAAAACGATTGAAACTTAGTACTATGAGTTAGAAAAGCACAAAATGAAATAGATTTAAGACCACTGAAGTTTCAACTCACAGGTGCGAAGTTCTAGTAATGGTTATAATTAGTTATAAGTAGTAATGGATAATGATCGTGAAAGACATCGGAGAAGGAAATGTGAATTATACAGCAATGAGCTGCTGATGTTTAAACCAAATAAAAAAATAATTTCACATTATGGCTTTGAATCATCATGATCCTATAGACAGGACAAGAGTTTACAATAGAATACTGAGCATTTTCCTAATGTTTAAAAGCCAATAACAATCATAATCACATGTGCTGTCTGAATAAATTACTGATATGCAAAATATTTTTCCTCAACAAGTATCAAGTTTTTTTGAAGCAGACAAGACAGGTGTTCCTTGCATACAGCCTTTGCAAGTAGTTACCACTAAGTTCAGAATAAATGGTACGTATTTTACTGCAAGAACCACATGACTAAAAGTTCTTACAATATTTTCCTAGAAAGAAAGATATAGACTGTTGTGGGAAGAACACATCACAAACTTATAGACACAGACAAAGATGCTACACCAAATTCTCTGAGGTTTGGGATTTTTTGTAGTTTGAATACCAATCCAACATTTGTTTTCCTTTTGTAATGGACTGAAAAAAATAGCCAAACATTCATGGATTTCTGGCATCACAGATGAAATTTTGTTAGTTGAAACTTTGTTCAGTCTCTGCATTGTCCAAGAAAAACTACTTCCAATGAGATTTTTTTTATATATATATCACAGATTTCTTTATACCAAGAGCCAAGTTTCATTAAAATCTTCAAGGAAAAATGTCTAACGGACATGTTTCTTATCTTCTATTTTTCATAATGATTTAGATGCATAAAATTAAAGACCAGAACCTGAAGGATTAGTTGATACTTTTAGGCTCTTCTTTCTCTAGATTGGGAGAAAAATTCTCCAAGCCTGTCTGAAATGGCGAGAAGAAACAGCAGAGGAAGCCTGCTTAAGCCTTCCCTGGGGCTGCTCACCCCGACAGGCATCCATTGCCTCCTTCTGCCACCACGCTGGGGTGTGTTGGCATCAGGCAGCCCCTGGTCTGGAGGTGACTGGCATTTCTGTGAGGAGGTCAGTGTGGCACTGTTCCTCTGGACAAAGTGGCAGGGATCACTAGCCACATACATACTCACCGTGCAATCTTGAAGGGCTGCGTATGTTGCAGAGGATGAAGAGCAAGGTGTGGGAGGCTCAGCTAGCTTAGCTTCAAATTCAGACACTGCCTGCTGCACCTATGAAAAAAAAAGGCAAACCAGAGAGTCTAAAACCAGCAGGAAATACATAAATGATGCTTTAAATAGCATCTTTTAAATATTTAGTGCTAAGAGAATATTATATCCTACGGTTTTGTAGTGCTGAGTTTCTTCTGAAGTTAAAAGATGCTAACTGTGCTCAGCTTCTTGTGACTGGGGCAATGATAAGAGTTAAATTCTTTTCTTTATGAACTACTGACAACCTGAGATTGAAGTTTAAGTGTTTATAAGAAGTATGGATGTGGTTTAATAGTGCAATATCCAGGGGAATTAATTAGGTTTTCTAAAAGACAACACAATTTTTTGAGTATGTATGGTTTAGTGTCTTCCTTGAACCTGCCTTTTAAGTCATTCAAAGCACAAATTTATGTATAGAGGTCTTGCAATTACCTTACAAATCTACTCATGTAGTCTACTCCATGCTTTTACAATACACATATTCAATTTTGGGAAAAAAAAAAAAGTAATTCTATAAATTGCAAACAATCCATTAGATTTGGCATTGTCTACCTGTTTAAGGCTTTCTTCATATTTCTGCTGTGCTGATGCATTCCCTGTGATTGTTCCTTCCAGTCTCTGCGCATGATCTCTTAGCTCTTCCCAATACCTTTTGACCTGAGTCAGTTTGGCTTTAATATGTGCACATTCTCCAGAGGTAACAAACTGGGAAAAAGACTCAGCTTCCTCTTCTAGTTTGGAGATTGCAGTTATTTTACCATCTATTTCTTTATTAATAACCTAAAATGTAAAGTAATAGTAAATAAAGCAGCATAATAGGTTTTTAATTATCAGATCAATAATTTCTTCCTTCTTTTACCTGAGCTACTAATATTCTTCATTATAAGAGGATAGTTCACTGGCCACTTGAAATAACCAATTACAAAAGTCTATAATATGTCCTGTAAACTCACTTTTTCCTCTTGAAATTAGCACTCGAAAAGGTTTAAATACCAGCCTGCCCTAAAAAAACAGTGTCTATGAAGAGCAATTAGAAATGGCTGAGGTGCATATTTTCATAAGCAGACAAGATGGTTCATATTTTAGCATCTCTTACTTCATAGCAAATTAATACACAATTCTCTTAAAGATTCAAAATAAATACAAGATGAAAAAAAGTACCTGCATAACTGAAAACACTATCATTAAGAAGCTGAACCCTAACAGCTGATTACTTGTGTTTAATAAGTTTTCAAGCAGTTAAAAAATAAAACATGTTAGGATCTGAAAACCAATAGGGATTGTTTTCATTTTCTAATTTAAAAGTCTATGGTATAATAAATTAAATTATATGAAAGGGTGAGTGTGTCCTCAGGCAGAGAATTAAACAAAAAAATCACATTACAGCATAAATAGGAAACCATGAAACAAGGGTGATAATGGCCTTTGGTACTTTTCAGCTGTAGCACTGGCTTTACATTTCATCAGCTGCATGACAGCAACTGTCTCCTATTTCGCACTTGCTTTTATGGCAAATTAGAGACAAACTTGAAAGATACAACCTCCAAGACAGAAACATGGTATTTCACATTGAGTGGATATTTATTCAGTAAGCATCGGAGAACTTGGAAATAAGGTATTTTTCACAACAGAATTCTTTTAATTTCTGCTGATGCAGCATGTCCATAGAGTTCTCAAAAGCAGTGAAAAAAAATGACTGGGAGGGAACCGAAGGAGCCAAGAGCAGTCTTTGAAATTGAAATAGGGAATAACATTCTCAGATAAAAAAATGTTAAGATATGTATGCATATGAAATCAACCAAAAACTCCTGAAAATGTACTCTCAAAAGCAGAGAAAGTGCCCACCTTCTGCTATAATTGTGATAAAAATATGCTGTCTTTCTTGCCATTATAAAGCTCAGGACTGGCTTACTGCAACATTCAGTCTAGAATTAGTAGGGTGACAGTACAGAAAAAAATGTGGTGCTGTAAGCACTTATAGGGTCTCTATGCAATATATTCTGAATTAATTTGGATTATAAAATATCATTTTTTGCATGAGAATATGGTGCTGAGGAAAAATACCGGATTTGGAGCCCTGAAGCTGAAATTATCTAACAATGCAGCAGATACAAATGAGGCACCGCATTTTTACTCCCACGCTTTTCTGTTAAATTCACTGAGTTACATAAAAGAAGGTGGATAATTGAGGCCTTCAAACTCTCACTGAGTCTGCCACCAATGGTAACTACTTGTGATAACTGTCATTTTGTTCCACCAGGAATTTTGGAGAAATGTGTAGGTGAAACTCTGGCTCTGCTGAAGCCGCTGGGGTTTTGCAATCCATGTCACCAAAAGTAGAATATTACCACTACTATGATAATTACATTCAGCTGACCCTAGGTTTTTTATCTGGTCAGCCGAAGATATCAGGGAACACACTACTTTTTATTCATTTGTCTCATGTTGCAATATTCCTTACTAATATGTTGTACTAGAAATTATGAACTAAGTATGCTGATTAGCATTGTGACACAAAGTAACTCATCAGGAAACTTACAACAAATCATAACAAATTCTTTAAAATCAGGCACAAAGCAATACTGTTGAAGAAGACCTCCAGCTATGTCCACTCATCAGAGGTTAGATGACTCATTCCACATATCACAGTTCATAAAGCTCATTTGTTCATCTGGGTTACAATGCTGTACCCTAGGCCTTATCTGGAGGATTTGCTCTGCTTTATGTCTGTTCACTCAGACATTTATAAACGTTACCTGCTGACCATTTTTCTTTCTGTCATGATGTTTATGTGAGGAAGAATTATGGTGGACTTTTCAGAAAATTGCAATGCAGTGTAAAAAATACTGCTTATCTGCATCTATAGCAAAGGAACAGCCTTTCTGGGAAATAGGCTTGAATGGGCTAGTGGGGCTTAAGTGAGCTCCATTTAGACAGACAAGAGCTGTCACACTGTAATGCAATATTAATATCATTTGATGCACTTAGTTTCTGTCTTAAACACTGGAATCCTATCCACTAACTACTGAAAAGCACACAACATGACAGTGTATGCCATGGAATAAGAGCAGTGCATATACATTATTTCAGAAAGAAACTTTTTTTTTGAATTGCTGTGGCGATGAAGCAAGAATTCAAGCATTGTTTTATTCTTCACTGATGAAATCAAGAGATTTTATTTCTTTGGTGTATGTAAAAGTGTGATCAAATTAAGAACAGGAAAATCTGTTGATAAACTGTTTCTGTCATGAGACAAGTGCCCTATGGGATCCTTTGGAAATACTTAGTGTTAATCTGGCCCATGGCTGCAAGCAGCTGCACACCTCCACACTTTCTGAGGAGGGAGTAGGTCACAGAATAAAGACAATGGCAGTGTGCACTGCATATTGAAAAACACTGTCCCCTTAGAAACATGCAGTTTCGGAGAAGGTACATTTTCTTTTGTGGGAGGATATGAAGTCAGCCCTTGAAATGCAATGCTTGGACACAATATGCACCTGTTAGCAATATGAAACTAAACCACTATGTATCTACAGTAATGTATAGAGAATTTAAGACAGTGTAAATATAATAGCAATAAATGGTATGTAGGTTTGCAAGCTACCAAGAGCAATAGTTTCTTTATTATTTCAGCATAAAAGATACACAAATCAAGTTATAACTTTAGCTTGCAAGATTAAAACCAAGATCTACAGCCACTAGCTGATGTAAGTTTTAAAATAAAAATTTTTTACACCAAGTATTTATGTACACCAGTTGAGATTACTCAAAAAATAAGAAAGAGTATAAATTAAGCAATGTTTTTAACCATACACACAAAAGCTCCATATATTGAAACTAAACACTAAAAGAGAAGGCAGCCTGTAAAAATTTTCCTTTAGTTTATGTAACACCTTACTGCTTGGTATATTTGTGTACAAAGTGTGCCATCATTACATCATAGTAGTTCTGAAATGTGTCAAATGTCTGTTCTCCCATTTGGCCTCCAGCAACATGACAGATAAATGGGCTTTTATTGCTAAACATAACAAGAACTAATCACCTTGATTTGGCTGATCTGTATGTCCAAAGGAGATGATGATGTTTCCAAAGTTTCCAGTTCTTTTTCTTGTTCAGCTATCCAGATGGACAGAGCTTCAAAATTATTGCCAAAATGATCCCACTTGTTTTTCACCATTTCCATGCTTTTAATACTAAAATTAACCAAATTAATTAGAGAGAATAAACAGTTTAATATAATGAAGCTGTCCATATTCTTGCTAGAATAAAATGTAACTTATTCAATCTACAGGAGGGTCATTTCAAAAAATCCTGGGTTTGGAGGACCAAGTTGTGAGCCTAAGTTCAAACTTGGCTCTCTCTTAGACCATCCACTGAAAGTCAAACAATTATATTAGCAATAGTGGGGACACTGAGAAGTGAAACAGAGTACAGCTTCATACATCAGCCGTACATCAAGAATGTCATCATAGAAGGAAGAGAAAGGAAGAGTAATATAAATATGATTTCTATGAAATAACACGGAATTATTATTATTTTATCAGAGAACCAAAAATTGATATAACTGAGTGCAAAGATGATAGCAATTTAGTCACTAGAATAGAATGATTAAAACCAGTGTATTGTGGATGTATCCATATTCACCAATGTTTGACTGTTTTATTAAACTTGGGGTTTTTTATAACAGCAATCTCCCCATCTTATAGGAAGTTTGTTTTCTGAGGCAATGATTTCACATCAAGCCAAAGAATCAACAAGAAGTATGTCTCAACTACCTCAAAGTTAATAGATTTATATTCTTTGAAACATACATTATAGGTATGTTAAACAGAAACAGATTATGACTGATTCTTGTATATCTTGGATAGCAAACAAAGCACCCTTCTTTTGTCACAAATAAGTCTAAGGCCCTTATAAGGCCTAACAGCATTAACTTCCAGTGTACAAGTTTCTGTCCCTTTCAAATCATTGTAAAGAAACCAGTTCTAACGTAGGCCCTACACACAGCTTGCAAAACATGCATTTTCTATTTCACTGAAAATATTAAAATTTCATCAAAAAAGTCTGAATACTACAAAATTCCAAAATACATTTTCCTTCTAAATATAGCCTTAAAAACCATTCCATGTTAAAAAGTTTTTGTTTCAATTTCCTTCCCCCCCCCCTCATTAAAGCTAGAGGAAGCTTCAAGAAAAGATGTAGTGTAAAATGTAAAAATTGGCCTTTTTATTTTTTCTTACTTATTTTCAAAATGAAAAAAATATTAGCAATGTCAACAGTCATTTACTGATAAGAGTGTATTCAAATTCGCTTTTTGTAGGAAAATAAAGTGCAAAAATATTTCATTCAAGTCCAGCCCAAGGAAACAGAGCTGGAAATCAGAATCAAGGGAGCAAATCAGTGGCACAACAGCTGAAGATCCTTTGCCTTTCTATCTGCCTTCCTTATAGTTGCCAGAAAGCCACAAACTGCAAAGAATATAGTCCCAAACACACTGTACATCTATGCGTGATCCCCCGGGAAAACAGATGTGCTGTTTGCTCTGTAGATGTCTGTGGAAAGCTGCTCAAACTTCTCTTTCCCTTTCCTGTTCATTGGCATAGTATGTACCACTTGGAGTACCTTCACTTTAAATTATTCAGCCAAGATTTTTATTGATGATGTGAGTTATACCATAACCCTTACACACTGATTATATGTTCTGTAGATTCACTAGAGTGTTGTATATATTTGCATGTTTTGCAGAAGGGATTCATTTTTTTATTATCTGTTACAGAACCACAGATATTCTGTATAATCCATACATTCAGCTAAAACCCGTTTCATATTTACATTGAGAGGGGATATCGGTGATGGCTTTCATTTAAAAATAGATTACATTATTAAAAAAGTGAATATTAATTGTTAAAAGGATTAATTTCTTGAATTGAAAAATCACACTAATTTCCTCTCTAATATTAAATAAAATTATGGATAAAGTATTCAGTAAGATATGGTAAAATTTTACTGTAAATCACCATAATACTTCATACTGAAAAAAGTATTATGCAAAAAAATTAGACCATCAATAATCAGAATGTTATATCTGCAGCACAAGTTAGTTATTTTGGTTTACAACTGTTCATTTACACTGGGAAGAAAATGACACCAAATTAAAATCATATTAGCATGACAATGGCCAATAGGGGAAAAAAACGCAGTAATGTGGGCATTGCCCTTTGCTCATATTCATATAGAGGTGGTGGTACCTGCTTAAATTTATACAGCAAATTATTCTACAAATTCTAGTAATTGCAGTAAGACAACATAGAATTGGCACATATATCCATGACTTTTGTATCAGATCTAATATATGCAAAAATACTAATTTCATATACACATATAAATGTATGTGTATACAGATGAAATGAGAATAGCAACAAGTGAAGTTGAAGTTGAGTAACTTGAGTTCAATAACTGAGTCATTTGAGAAAAGGGATTAAATTTTTACAAATACTAAAAGCTACAAATATTTACAGGACTTAATAACATTTTGTTGGAGTTTGAACTTTCAATTTTTAAACAAAATTTGGCAAATGATGCCTTTGTTTTTTTTCAGCAGCAGAAGCAGCTTTGATACTGCCCATGAAATAAAATTTGGGCATTCAGCTAAGATGAAGGCACTTCTTGACATTCCCATGGAGAAAGCAGAATACCGAAAACCAAGGCAAATATGGTGAATGTGCTGTTCTCATACTTCCACTGAGATTTTTCTTTCTAAAAGAGTCTAGTACTCAAGAATCAGATTAATTATCCCTTCTTCACAACACTGGGGCTTAAAGATAAGTGACAGGTTAAATGTAACTAACAGTGGTGTTATAAACTACGTATTATTAAAAAAGACTGTTTATTTGCACACACTCTTTTGACATATTTGGTACTATAATCTGGTTACTATGCCACAGCAAGCTGTAAATGACGGAGCTGATGAGACAACACAAAATGCTGACAAGGTATTCTAGAAATCTGGTACAATCTTATAGTGGAGAATAAATATTAGGACTTGTTAAGAACATACTCTTCTTCAAGAGTAACTTCCACTTTTTTCACTTGTTCTTGGATTGATTTTGCCTGCTGCTGAAGGGACTGCTTGTTCTTTGAACCAAGCTGTATCTCAGAAGAATTCTTCACCAAATTCTCAGCCTGCACTGCCATTGCTTCAGTCTGTTTAGAAAGTTCCTGTAAGGATGCAAGACACATTAACACAACTATAAGCAGTTTCTTCATGTATTTAAACAAAAAGTATTTTTCCTCACAGGTTGTGGTTGGAAAAACTATCTGTGTCCTACATGTATATTTTGAATGTGTTAATACATTAAAAAAAATCTCTGAAGAAAGTAATTTTCATGTTGCATTTAAGAAATGTTCATCTGAGCAACCTAGTTTGAATAAAATTTAGCAAGGGAAAATTTTATGTCCAAAAGTTTTTAACTCAACCAAACAAAATTTATTCTATAGCTCTTCAAGAAATTTATTTATGAATTATGGAGGATTATATGCATCTTTATTTCACCTTTAGATCCTATCCTTTACAGGGAGGATTTTGCAGTACCTCATAGCTTGTAATCCCACTTTGTTTAGCAACTATTTTCTGTCACAAATGCTAAACCCATACAATAGAACAGTGGATTCTGAACATAACCAAGATACGTATAATTAATAGCAGATTTATCAAAGTGTAAAAACAATGTGAAAAGCATGGCACTTAGGAAAGCCAATCACTACTATTACTTCTGTGTTAGTAAATAAAATGAGATAGGATATTTATGTGTTATTAAGGGCAAGAGGCATGTTACGGGTTATGTCCATGTTGTAGAAGACTCTCCTTTTTCTCCTCAGGGCTTAAAGAATGTTAGTTGTCACAGTCCACATAACCTTGCCAAAGAGCACACTACTGATGTTACGCCAGTGCTTGACACCATTTAGCTTACTAGTATTGATGATTACTGAGCTTAAAATGAGAAGTCCTCAAAATCATTTTAACTTCCATATGTGCATTTAAGATGCAGATTTTGGGTAATTCTTCATGACCTTTTCATAAAATAACTTTTTACCTCTAAACAGTTTACGCAGTCTTTAATCTGTATACGCAATTTGCATCATCATTGGCAGGAAACCATGCTCACTACATGTTAACAAGCAAGGCAGAAAGATATCTCAGTTCCTGTATTTCAAACAGTGAATACCTTTGTCTGATCCAGTTCTGAAGAGAGGCTCTCTAAACTGCTAAAGTTTAAGATACGTTCAAGTGCAGAGCTTGCTTGCTTGAGGTATTTTACTACTGTTTCTTTGTCCCTTTCAAACTGCTCCCATTTATTTATTGTGACCTATAAAAACAAACAAACAAAAACCAAAACAGGAACAGAAAGATGCAAAGATCAAAGAGGAGGAAAAAAAAAAAAGAGTTTTATTGTAAGTTACTGAAGAAGGAAAAAAGAGAAAGATCTGACATAAAACAAGTATTCCTGAAATGCCATCTACTCTCTTCTGAACCTCATAAAAGTTTTCCCTTGAATTTTCACTGATTCATACTGTACTCTGTGAAAAAGCACTGTTCTCTAAGGTGTCAGCAGTAATTAAATCTTATATTTTAATGTCCTATAAGAAGTCTGAAGTCATAAATGCAAATGCTGATGCTTATCGTGACAGGTAGTTAACAATATCTAAAAGGGTTTTCAAGTTCTCTAATGAAATAAATTACAGTAAAATGGTACAAGAAAATCCCTACTCATAGGAAACTCACACATAGGAATCTATTTGTTCTTTTCTGATAATGTAGAATTTTTATTAGCATACAGCATTTAATTACCAGTCACAAGAATTATGACAGCATAAACACATAATTTCTTGATTCTGAAGTAAAGCAAAGCCCAAGTTATGATTTTATATTTAAGTAATATTTTTTTTACATTAAGAAGTTATTTGAGCTCTATCAATCACGTTTTTAATTCTGTGTTTTATCATGGGACCTAGTTTTGATGACTTTAAACATTTGCATGGAGTAGTGGACAGGTGGATTACCACTCTGCTTAGAGAAATGTAAAGGACAACTCAGATATAGGTGCAAGGAGCTATAACTTCTAATCATCCCAGTTCAGTCGGTGATTAGTTATACAACCTGGAGCAATCTTTTTGATTTCTCTGTAACTTTTTTCTTCCTTCTTTAAATTTAGGATGACAGCATGTATTTCACACAGTAGTTATGAGGATTATATTTGCACAACATCAGGTGTTATTAATCTAATATCCAGACACAGGACTCTCACTTACAGGGTAATGTCATCTTTAGTGACCAGGGGAGACGCCCATCTAAAAAGTTAATTCACAGATAAATTATTTAAAATTTCTATTATGACAGAATAGTTGGGACTTTTAAACATTTCCAAACAAAATGTTTCTTTATTAATTAAGTGGTATCCAGCAGCTTCAAGAAGTTTCACAGAAGTACTGATTATGAAAACCCCAAGGATCAAGGTTCAGAGGTGAGAAAGTGAGCTCAAACATTTTACATTAAGAAAGTAATTTTTTTTACTAAATTAAAAAAAAAAAAAAGAAGAAGAAAAAAATATGGGGGGTTTATTTCTACAAAGGACACACCTGCAGTTGCTCTTCACGTTTCTCCATAGTCTGCTGCATGTTTTCCAATGTTCCTTCCAACTTTAGTAAATCTTCTTGCATTATTCTGGGTAGTCCACCTTCAACCTGTAACTGTTTAGCTTGGGAAATCTGCTGTTGCACACCTTGCCTCTTTGCACGGAGTCTCCTTGTCCTTTGCTAAAAAGATTAATCCAAAAGGAATGATTAGACTTTTTAGCTATGTTGCGAAATGGGCACAATGAAATCACCTTCTGCTTTTGCAGGGGTATGCAATGAGAGTTACAGACAAAGGGATAAACTGCAGGAAGTATTTTTGAGTCTCATGTACTCATCAAGTATATGCCTTGGGTTCTAAAATGTGTATACACCTTTTGTGGCATACAAATGGGAGAGAAAGAGTGACAGTACGGGCATTCATCCAAAGCAACATTTCAGAAAGCAGAAGCCACAGCAATTGAGTAACTGCAGCAGTAGCCACAGTCATACATATTCCTCACTACTGCCTGGATGCATCCAGGTCTGCTCTGCATTCTTTCAGGCACAGGCTGGAGCCTCAGACTGACAAAAGGAATATATCAGCCTTCATTAGAGAGCAGTAGGGGCCAAGCTGCACAACTGTTTCCTTGATGTGTTTTGCTTTGTAGCACTATCAGAAACTCCTAAGACTACATCCCCTCTCCTTTCCTAACATGCTTGACCCATTGCCAGCCTTCCTAGGTAAGCTCACAGCTCCTCACTCAATTCTACTCTGGGTACCTTCAGGCATTTGTCAAAGTCTGTTTTTACCTTAACAGACTCAATATTGAAAGAAGAAAAGTCCGAGAACTCAGGGAGAAGTTAACTATTCCTACTATGTCTGCTATGATGAGTAAGGAATGTAGTGTATTGAAAGAACAAATACAAACCTTAATACATACAGTAGCTTTTACAAACACCAAAGAGTTTAGCTAAGACACAGGTAAGGCATAGCAATGCCTGGTCAGACAGGAAGACATGTCTGACCTTACAGAAACAGGTGTTAATTTGAAAAACTTATATAATGCCCAAACACTGACAGTAAATTACTCTTATTCTTACCAGTTTTGAGCAGCCCTCAAAGTTAATTTCCCATATCTGGCCTTAAAACCCATGATTCTTGCTGTATGGAACCCATAAAATTACTGTAGTCTGTAGACGTTTTGATTTATTAACAGTGCATAAAAAAATCTCCTGTTCTACTCCTACAGAATGGAGGGTCACCTGTCACTGCAGTAGCTACCTAGAGGAGGAGATGAGTCTAGGGGTACACCTCCCCTCCAGCATTGAGGTGGGGCTACATCAACGTTGCTGAAGTAAAGACATTTCTAAAGCCAGGTCTGGGCCCAATTTACCATGATCAAATCTGACATGCAAACTTTAAAAAAGGTAAAAATAGAGAGACTACATATTTGCAGAGTACACTTACCCAAAAAATTTCAAGTAACAACAGAAGCTTGGTTTTTAGGTGTCCTCTGCCCCAAAAACCCATGTGAAATAAAAGGATATTCAATAAAAGAAAAACAAGCTTATCTTTGTGCATTAACATTTAAAAAATACTGAGTACTCTTTTCATTATAAGAAATCAATACTAGGCCATATGAGACTGTTTCATTTATAACTCTTTGAAGTTTAAATATAAAGAGTTATGCTACTGGACACAACAAAATTTTGTAATTACATAAATTCTACCTTAAACAAAAAATCTCATATGGACATGAGTAATTGCCTTACCTGATGATGAAGTAGTAGTTGCTGAGCTTGTAACAAACTTTCTGTGTTCAGGATCTTTTCAGCCTCTGCTTGGGCTTCTTTAGAGTTGTTGATTAACTCTTCAATTGCACTTTTAACTTCTTCCTTGTACTGGACACAGTCTCCAACAGTGCCTAAATTCTTTTCAACCTACAATTACAGATAATTTGAAGCATTTCATGTTGAAAGGCATACCTATATTTCAAGGACACATTTATATTTGGAATATTTTTTTTCAAAAAATATAGTAAATTGTCTAAATTCAAACAATTTTTGTCTATAGCATTCTTGACACCTTTAACTTTACACTGAAAGAGTGACTGTTGACTTTAAATGTGACCAGGTGACATTTGTCTTGTTTAGATAGACTCCCTATTAGATTGGCATATGGCAAATAGCTGTTTGTGACAGCCACTTGTTGATCACTTCGAAAATACATGCTGTCCTAACCCTTGCAAACTGACCCAGGCTCCGAAACACCTGCACTACTCAACTCACTAAAAAAAATATTGCTACCTTTTGGACCTTCTAGAGCAATGCCCTGGTGAATCACAAATGTATTAAAATGCTCTGTTACTCTGGGTTTAATGACTACAATATGCATATGGTGCAATATCCAGTGTCAGTTTGAAGAATTTTGTAAAGAAAAAAATATATCTATTCAACATATCAAAAAGTTCTTCCTTCTTTACATGATTCAGCTGACTACTTGTATCTGATTCTCAGTATAGACTCTGTTCCTCAGGTCCTGTGTTTTAAGGTTTTAATCATGAAGTATGCTAGAACTAAGAAATTCCTTTCTTTTCTTCCTCCCTTTCTTTCTTTCTAGTCCATATTCACTTTGGAGTATCATTCAGCTTCAAGCCATTCTCTTTCCTTTTATATAAATATTTAGTCTTTACTCTTCAAAAAACATTTCCAAACTCTGGAAATACCCAGTATGAGTCCTTGTCTAAACAGTCTCATTAGGAAGCGATAGATTTAGCTGTAAAAGTATTCAGACTTTTAAGAATCGTCAGTTTCTTAACTATAATATAAAGTCCCATTCAGGTTGGGATTTTAGATTCAAAACAAGTTTAGATTCTAGCTCTTATTTTCTTTTTTAACTTCATGAACTTGTGCTTCTCTCAGTTCCGACTTTTAGAGGAAACAAAAAGCAGAAAAAAAAAAAAAAAAAAAAAAAGTGTCTTACATTTTTTGTAATCACTTTGAAATCAGAACATTGGTTGATCCAACTTTCCAAACACAGTTTTCACACCACGGAAGTTTAGAGAAGTTTCAATAAATACATGAAACATTTATACATTTGGAATACTTACAAGGCCTCCACAAGAACGTGGAATTTGGTCTGAACTTTCTCAATCCTGATCTCTATTTTCAAATAGATCTGTTCCACCTTCTAAGTATGAAGTGTTCTAAGTTTCTCATGATCTTTCTTTTTACTGTGAAAATTGTGAAGCAGTAAGTTCACTGAGACCCCACAGCACTCAAGAGTTCAGTGGATTCTAAGAGATTTTGCTTATTATCAGTTAGACACTTCCCATGATTTCAGCAATTACAGTATCTCGCGATCATTCAGACCTCAGCGAACTACAGTCTTTTCCTGCAAATTCAGTGCGTGGTAGACATCCTTAATGATATGAAACTACCTCACAGTAGATCCTTTAGTATTTCAGCATAAAGATTAATAAATGAAGATTAAAGTCCAATTCTATATGCATTAGCTGATGTACATCATGGTTTTGTCAATATTCACGATGACCTGATTTCAGAAAATTATCTTTTTGCTTTAAAGATACTAACATTTTGAGTCCAGAAACATTTACTATGATGCTTTCTAATCCTGCAAAGGGAAAATATCAATTTTTTGTCGGCTACTTTCAAGGCTTTACTACCCAGGGAGTACAAATGAGTTTTTCACTGTTGAGTGCTTGCAGTTTAATTTAAAAAACACAGCAGGGGACTTGAGCTTATGAAGCCATGATTGATGTAATTTCATGTGACACTGTAAACGGAGAGTTCTTGTGTCCCTCATACTGTACCTCAGCCAGTAAATCTAGGAGTCCCTTGAATTCACTGGAAAGGTTACAAAGCTCATCCTCTGTCCTTTTGGCCTCCAAATCAGGACACGCTGCAGTCAAAACAGGAAGCCTAGCTTTCAGCCAGCTGTGATTTTCTCCTTGCTTGTTAATATGCTTCCTAATTTCCTATGGAAGAATCAAAACATATTTTCTTCAAATAAACAAAATATATTAATAAGTTGCATTCATGGCATCAGTTCAAGAATTAGAAGTGTAAACATATTTATCTGTTTGCATAGCCTATCTGATTCTGTTCCAGTCAACAGGTAGATTTTTGCATTTCTTCCACAGACTTCACTACTACTTACTAGACTGTTCTTTAACAAGTGGTAGTGGAACATTTTTTCCTCACAAACTAACTTTTTATCTACAGATATATAGATGCATGATAGATACCATTTGTATGTTTTCCACATATTGACCATATTTCTTAGTTAAGATTTAAATCCTAAATGCTGATTTTCCCAAAGTCATAAAACTTCCAAGTCCCAAAAGGCTTCAAGTCCCAGAAACTTTATGCCTGAAAGGCATAAAACTTCCAAATGGTATAAGGTTTTGTGTATTTATTTTCCTATGTAAGTAGCTCTTCTATTTATATCTCTGTGCAAGTGCTGATGAGAAGTTGCCAGCAGTGAAACTGGATGTGTAAATCACACTTTTTGGAGCAGAGGCACCCATCAAGATTAAAGTCTATCTGCTTTATCAAGGTCATCTTAATTACATTTAGCCTCACAACCTGCTTATGACTTTCATGCAAACTACTAACATTATGTGACATTCCTGGCTTTGCTCCTGGTATGCAAAATAAAGAAATAAGGGTCAAGCTAGGTCCCAAGTGACACAATAAATTTTTGCCTAGAGCTAATCTAATGAAACAACTCAATCTTCAACTTTTCTACCACTTCTGTTACCAGTCACCAATACAAAAGTGAATGGTAGAATATCTTTGCCTCCCCTGTTGTCCTATTCTATAAGAGAATTTTTATTATAAAAGCTTTTCCTAAACATAAGACAGTATACTTGATCCTTCAAAAACACACAGTCCAGAAATTTTGGCTTTTTTTTTTTTTTTTCCATAGAACTTTTAACTGTGCACACAGCAGGATGGGGAGCAACTATTTTTTCTATCTGCTTCTATAATTTGGACATTTTTAATATGCAGGTAAAGGGATCTGCCATTCTCGACATTATTAAAAGTAGGAATTTTTGCCACACAATGCTGCATATGGAACTTTCTCCTGGAAATATTTTTAAGAACATCAGGAATCAGCAGAGCTACTATTTCTCCATTGTAAAACAGTTGCACTACTTCAGTATACAGTTTTATCCAGAGTGCCAGTAGCAATGACTGTAGCTTTGTTAGAATATAAGCCAAGAGCTCACCCCCACAGATGCTTTAAATTGCTTGTATTTGGCAGTATCATTAACACTTTCCTTTATCTTCTTTAGCTCTCCTTCTGTTGACAAAATCCAATTTGCCAATTCAGAAAATCTGAAATGAAACATCACATAATGCAAAGCAACGAAAAATGTTACACAAAAATTGCCTCCACTGAACAGTAACCTGTTAAATTTGAGTCAAAAATTATAAAATCCACTCCAAATCCCATTATAATTTGTGGAGTGACTTTATAAAGTATAGTTAATAACACTGTATGATTTTTTACATGGTACTGATGTATAATGACAGAGGAGTGAGCACACGTAAGGCTCTATGAGACCCAGCTAGCAATTGAGCTGACACCTGTTTTTGTAGCTCTTCCAGGTGTCTGAGCGCTCTGTTAACTTTACGTATGTGCTGTCTATCTGGGATTTGAGGTCCTTCAGGATTCGTTGGCTGCTTTCCAATGTAGCCCTCACTGGATCAGAAACTGGTAGTTTTTGGCACAGTTCTTCAATCCGTTGTAGCCTTTTTTCACAGAGATGGTAAGATCCCTTGTCACCGAAGAACAACTGATGAGACACAAAGCAGAAAATACCGATTGACAGAAATCACAAAGCATATCTATCTTCTAGTTATAAATCATACTAAACTCAAATCAAAATCTTTGTTAAATGTCCCCAGGATTGATTTATTTGTGCACAAAGTGTTTTGGGTGCAAAGAGTTGGTCAGACCTTCTGTTTATTTGGACATTTAAATGTATTTTGTAAGTGCCCACGTGGTGGCATATAATTCATACCATGTGTTCCTCGATCATCTTTTCATTGCCTTCTCTTGATAAGACCTTGTTCTGTCGAACAAGTTCAGCTTTGCACTCCTCCACTGTGACCAGGAACTTGCTCTTCTGTACTTCAACCTTCAAGTGGATCAAATGATATGGGGCCTCTGTTTGAAGATCCTACACACCCACAGGAGCAGTAAACAAGCACAGAGATAAAACACTACTCCTATTACCTCAGTGTGAAGTTACTACAAATAAATTATTTAACAACTGCTAATATAGACAATAAAGCATATATATGTATGCACAGATGCAGATTTCTCTGTATTCATTTAAGTAAATAAAACAACTCTGTTACCAGTATTTCTTAGACATATCATAAGGTCCTAAGTTTTGGGGGACCAGAATATGTATGTATAAGGCACATTATAGGGACATCTTGATTCTTGGCAAGATATACCAAATATTTCTGTATAAACTACTAAAGCAAACAATAATAGTGAAGGTATATTCACAACTATTTCCAGAGGTCCCTCCTGTTGGTGTGCTAGTGAGAAACCTCTCATCCTTCACTCTAGCTTTGACCTGCAACATGCTGTAGCAGGCAGAAAATTCCATAGCTTATAAACAGTGTTTGTTCAGTTGTTAGAACCTTTGGCAGAAGACTCAATTTAAACCGATAGCCTGATGTCTTACAGATTTGTTTTATTAAGGTTGAAAAAGTAACCGCAATTATCCAACATCATCATAAAGTAAGAAAAGCTAGCACCTATTCTCAACAAATGTTCTTAACACAGGTATCATTATGGCTGTATGTAGAGGGAGAAATTAAGGTTTCATAATTAATTTATCACATTTCTTGACTTTTGACCACTTAACTGGGCTTTTTCAAGAGGGTATTTGTAGATGGAGCTGTATCTAACATTGTAAAATACATATTTTTCCCAATTGTTCAGGATGCCAAATAATACAACTTTTGGTTTGGGTTTTTTTTTTCAACATATAGGTCCTGCAGAAACATTCTGAAGTTGAGACCTACAATTTCCAGAGACATCATTCAATGTCACTAACCTTCCACTGCCTGTGGAGTTTTCTTACAGCATCCTGCAGGTTGTGTTGTTCTTGTTCTGGGAGGATGTCAGTAAGTTCATCGCATGCTTTCAGAAAGGCATTTAGGACTCTCTGATCCAACTGGTTAAAGAATTCCTGAAGTTAAGGCAGAAAGTGAGATGAGGAGATGAAGCTGGTTATTGATATGGTAACCTGGCAATTTGAAGTTCCCTAAAACACTGTGAATTTCAAGGTTACTTCTGCTGCATTGAGGAATTGAAGTTTGAACTGAGGAAGTAAATATTTCTGGGTATTTGAAGTCCAGAAAATTAATGTATTCTCAGCCAGTACATTGAGATTATATTTTAACAAGCATACATTATAAAGCTACATGCATAAATAATGGTTATAATACAGAGACAGGTATTAATCTGAAAAAAAAAACCACCAACCCAACACCAAAACAGAGGATGTGTGGGACTGGCAAAATATAGTGTCCTCACTCTCAATGGTTCTACTGGCAAAATCAACTCTAATTTCTAGGGGGTCTTCTCTCTTCACCTTCTGAATGCTTACATTCAGCAAGAAGAGGGGTGATCTTTTTTCCTTTCTGTTAATTCAATCTTAAACATTAGTTTGACCTGATCTGTATGATTTCTATACGTGAAAGAAATCCACATAAATTTTAAAATTAAGTAGTCTTTTCACTTGTATGTCATGCACTCAAAGATTTCCGTGAGGAAGGTCAGAGAATTTACTCACGCTATGTTTCCTGAGAAGTTCTTCAGGATTTCCTTTTTCTTTTAAGCAACAATTGGCAATCTGTATTACTTTCTCCAGTTCTGCTCTAGACTCCTCAAATTTCTTCATCAAACGGCTATTTGCTTCTATGTTTTTTCTCCAGTCACCAGCTTTCCTGACCATATTCTGAGTTATAAACAAAGAAAATGAGCTGGCAGTTTCTCACTGATTTTTATTTGTTCTCTTTTACCATGTTCTTATAAAAAAATGCATTTGATTGATGTCATCCTTTCAAACATATGCCATTCACAAGTGCTTCTCCCTTCCATGTTCCCATTTTCCCAGTTTTTAATACTTATACTAGGGCTTGTGCTAATGTCATCCTTCATATGAATAAAAATGGGTAGCTACCTAATATAGATGCCTCTGATACCTCTAGAATGCCATTTGGCTAATGTTTCTTTCCTAAAGCCTGCTTACAAATGTAAAGTGCCTGGTATGGCTAAAAGCTTGACATTCTGTTTTTCCTCGTAGCAGACTACCTCCCTCTACATGACTCTCTGTGTAGGTGTTTGACCTTTGGATCTCACCAGTTTCATGCTACAGGTCGTCTGACCTGGAGGAAGTTTGTACACACTAGTGGGTCAGATAAACAACCAAGCAGAAAGCTGCTTAAGTGAAAGACAGCAAATTTTGTGGTTTAGTTGCTACTCTGAAATAGTCTCGTTTTGAAAATTTACTCACAGCTCTTCATTATTCTGCTTTGTAGTCTGTCCCAGTCCACTTCAGTATCAAGTGGTTAAGATTCCATGAGCAAGTAACAAAATTTACCAGGAGAAACGTACAGTTCGCCAGTTCAGTTGCAGCACGGTAATTCCAGAAATGCTTACTAACCATACACTTTACCATCCTCACTGATTACAAAGCCCAGTGTAAGGAAATGTAATGATTTTACCCAGTGAATTAATCAAATTTGTAGTTCTCAAACATCTTGCTAAGCCTTTTTAAATTTTCCTGATTAAAAATTGTGTATAAAAGTAGAATCATATAGGAATGTATTAATTATGTGAGAAAATGCCAGTTTCCAGATCCATAAATATTTTAGCTCTAGGTATGCCCCATTTTATATGGTTATGCCATGTTTTCTAGGTTTATTTTCTAACACAAAGAGATAAATCACCATACATCTTTATAGGAACAGAATAATTAATGCGTAACATGGTAAATTTATCAAGCATCTCCTTCTGCTATTATAAGCTAAACTTAAATAATTGATTTCTAAATTGTAAATCAAAACCCACTGAAAATTTTGAAATCCACCTTTCATGGACAGCTCTTTACTGAAAACAAATCTAATGGAATCCAACATCTGGAGATCTGACTCCAAGGTAATGGTTAATTTCATGCTAGAGAGGGGCTAGACTGGGGCTGGGTAGTCCTGAAAATATCAATAATAATATATATATATTAATAACAACACAGAGATCTAAACATATCGGTATTATAGCCCACAGTACACATCTTTACATTAAAAAATGCTAATACATATTTGCAATTTTCTATATTGACAATCCACTGCATTTTCTCAGGAAATACAAAGTCCAGCAAAATTTCCCATCTTCCATGCTTTGTGTGAAAAGGCATGTATGGGAATATGGGAACAAATAATTAGCCAAGATAATGAAGTCAGCAGAAACAAAAAGCAGTGCAGCCCTATCAGGTGGATTTCAGGTTCCTCACTGCCCAGAAGCCTGAATGTGAAAGTTCTCCTTAAATCCCAGGTTCCTCTGAGGCAGGCTCGCCTCTGAATAACTGTATGAAGAACATGACCAACAATCCCCTGACCACTTATTACCTAATATAGACAAATCCTTAATTAATAACCTGACACTAGAGAGGAAAGCTCTCTATGACATTAGCTACGGAGTGATGAAATGGAGATATGGTAGGATGGATTAGCTGCATATGAACAAGTCTTCAAAAATATGCACAAATTGACATAATTACCTGAAAAGTAATCTGAACTTGTGTAACTTTCTTCTGAAATGTTGACTGATGGAAATGCTGTAACACTTCACTCGAAGCCACACACTGCAGGATACTCTGACTATTTCTCTCAATCAAGGACAAATCTTTCTTGCAGTTTTCTTGGTAAGCTACCAGATCCTGAAAGAAAAAAAACATATATCCACACTGGCCAGGGACAAAGGAGAGAAAAGTTTGGCGGAATAACAGGAAGATATTTTCTGACAATTAGAGCAAAAGGGACAAGGTCAAACCACCACAATAGACTACGCAAAATGTTACATGGAATAACACAGATCACACAACTTTATCCTTTTATGGAGAGTCTTGTACCCAAATAGAACTCTAGCTACCTATAAAAAAAAGACACAGACATGTATCCAAGCCTTGTGGGGTAGTTTTAGAGAATTCAGGCCAATACATTATTCTGTGATATAATTTTATGGGATGTCTATACTGTATAATTGTAAGTAAGCAGCAGTGAAAATAATAGCCATAAGCAGGACAACTCTCAGTAGAATGTTGGGATGTTAAAGAGAGAAGAAAAAATGCATGAAGTTGCACAGGCTGAAAAAACAGCTTAAAAGATCCTGTGGCGAGGAAACTCTTCTGCTATTGAAGGAACACTGTATTCCTCATCACAAATCTCTGTTTACTCTCTGATCAGCAGAAACAAGCACCCTCCATATAACAGGAGATTTTGGTTCCTTGGTTGGCAAGTAACTGCAGAAGAAACATGTCTTTTTATTGTGATGTTCTGGGGCTGGTTAACCTTCAGAAGCAGAAGAACCTCTCTTATGAGCTGCTCCTTAACCCACAGGTTGGACGTATGACTCAGCTGATGTTCACAAACAAAAGAGGATTTACTGAGGAAGACAAATGGACTGTCTTGATGCAAGCTCACCAGATTTTTTTTTACCCAAATACAATCAAAGCTTGAAGTCACTGAAAGAATAGACCCTTCTTGTTGAATTTTTGGGCCAATCTCCAGAGTCATTATAGGCTTGAACTAATTTTCATATATATACACATATACACACACACACACGTTAAATTAAATCTCTTTCTTTTTTTTTTTTTTTTTTTTTTTAAAAAAAAAAGGGACTCTAAATGGCTTTGAAAGACTTCAGTTTCCCAGAAAAAGTCCATTTGATTATATTACCTGTCAAATCCAACTATAATGAAACATGTACATTAATTTTGAGGGACTATTTCTAGGCTATATACTACACATACACAAGGATAAATGCCAACTCCTATGCAAGATCCTCGTATTTTCGTTTATGTTTCCAAGTGAGTTCTGAATTCCTACAGAATTAAATGTTTATTGGTCAGGTAGAAAAGTTAATGTTCTACTACAACGTACTTCAGAGAAACCACTTCCAGACTTCTAAGAAGCCTCCATAACTATCCAAGAAAACCTAGGAAAGTTCCTGATCATGTTATTTCATCTGCTTAATAAAAAATCCAATATATTTCTGATACTTCAGTTCAATTTCCACTAGATAATTTTTTTTTTAAAAGTTTCATATTTACTTTTTGGATCGAAACCATGGCCACCAGGAGGTAACACAAGTTTCAGTCTTTGTATGTTTATGCCTAGCTGACTTTAGGATAGGTTATGCTAGGATAGGTTTAGGATAGGTTTGTTGCTAGAATATGAAGAAACATTTGCTCAGCTTACCGTGTTGCAGTTCAAATTCCTAGAAAGTTAATTGTAAATACTCAGAGGCAGCAAATCTTTGTAAGATGGTTTTGAAACTTACTTGGGCTTTTTGTTTAAGAACAGTTGTAGGTTGTGCTTCAGGATCCAGGATAGAAATTATCTCATTAACTTTTTCAAGAGATTCATAAAAGTGTGTGATCTGTTTCTCCAGTTCTTCCAGTGGAGACAGCAGACGCTGGCATTCATACAGCAAAGCACAGGAATACTCCTTAACCTTCGGCCATTTTAAAGAAAAATAATTATTTAAAAACTTGTAAAATTCAATAAATAGCAGATTCCTCTGCATGTGGGTTTATATAGTTGCTGCCTGCCTCTTTTAAGATACATCAATCCTGATCTTGTATTACTTCTTAAAGAAAATAATATTAAATTTAAGGATTGCAGTCTTAAAGTCTAAAACAAGTAACATTTTCTCCACCCTGAATTACTATAACTACATATATGCTCAAATCCATATATCTGAGCAGTTATGTTGGGAAGCTTACTATTTATTAGTTCAAGAGTCAGCAACATTTGTATTAGAAAAAAAAATTCAGACACCTTGCTCAGCTGCTCTTTGATTCTTGTCAGAGTTCCAAGCATTTCATTCACCTCCTCTTGGGAAACTTCTTTTGTAACAAGTTGTGCTGTTCTTGCAATCATTTTGTACTGAGATTCCATTGCAGGCAATTTCTGCTTAATATTCTGAAATAAATGTTTCAAAAAATATTTCAACAACAGCATTCATGTGAGATACAAGTCTGTTCTCAAGAGATAAAAGATATAGATTACAATTATCAATTGTTTTCATGAAAACTGCCAAAAGGTTACAGTCAGATCACCTGACTGTGATTTGAAACTACACAGAAAGAAACATCCTGTGGGACAGTGTTTTGGAAAAGTGTTCTAGAAATGTCACTCGTAGAAAACAAAGATTTATATTAGCTATGGCAGAAATTATATTAAAAAAAAAAAAAAAGTAAGAAAGGAAATATATCCTAAAATAATGTTATGCCTCGAAATTAAATAGTTACAAGTTTCTCTCTTACGAAGGAGAAGGAAATAGAAGGAAGACACTTACTTCCAAATCTTGTATGAACATTTTGACATCAAGGAAGGATACTTCTACAGCGACTGAAAGTTTCCTATTGCTTCCATCAATAAAAGCTGTCAAATGGGCAACACCATCCAAGTATTCTTTCTTCATTTTGTCCAGTTCATCTGCTCGAGCATACTAAGAAAATGTAAAGTAAAAAGAAAAAAAAAAGAAATAACCACCCCAAATGAGATATCTGGTAATTAAGTAATGACTTAAGAGAATTAGCAGGTTTTCAGTGCAAATGTTTCCTGGAAAAAATTGTATTCAACAAAATACAAAATAATGGAAACTAATATTCTAAATTAGTTAGACACTAATCATCTGCATCAGTCTCAATACTGCTGATACTAAAAAGAACAACATTCATACATCAGCCTTTTTAAAGTTTTGAATCATCTGGAGAACACCAAACTCATCTGTTTCCAACCTAGAAGCAACATCTCAATTCATTTCTCATTACCTACAGTATCAATTTTGAAAATTCAGCAAAGAGAATAGAACACGAAAAGCCTAGAAAATCTGAAGGATAAGGGAAATTTCAACAAAAGAACTACTGGTTGGAGGAAGGGGAGACACAGGTTTTAGAAAGTGGAAAGAGCTATATGACAGAAATGGTAAAAAGCCAGTGAGCAAAACCATATAGCCAGCACATGAAAGAAGCTGCATAAGTAGGGGAAGAGATATTCACATCCTGGGCATTACTGTTTCCACAGTGAATCACCCTAAACATCATCACCAAATAAAGCTTGACAACATTCTAGTCAACAGTTCGGAAAAGTTACAGTAAAAAAGGGGTGATGATTATTGGCTTTTCCATTTAACTTGACTGTAGTGGAAATAATCATACCAGTAAAAAAACAATAGATTCAGCATCTTCAAATAGGCAACTGCTATTTAAAAATTACTGGAAGGGGAAAGTATAATTAGATGTATATTGACTATAGCAAAGATATTTTCTAATGTGTTTATAAGGTGTGAAATACTTTTGTGTAATTTTATCCTACATCTTCCCTTCGCTTTTTAAAGAACAAATATAGAAACAACACTTCTTTCCAATCAGTTCAATCTCTTCCACCAGCTAAAGAGTAGGTTTTTTTCATTTACTATCAGTGCCTCCTTGTGCACAAGATAGAAGTAATGTCTGACTAATTTGGGGAAAGTATTTGTTAATTAACCTGCACTGTACCTGCTTATGGTTGGAGTACAATAATTAAATGTAACTTTCATTAAAGGATATTAAAAACATTCACTTTCACCTTTTTCACTGTTTAGTTTTAGAGCTTACAATAACAGTAGCTACTTAAAACCAATAATTTTCTTTGAAGAACAGTAGAGGATATCATAGAAGTAGACTCATGCAATGGTTTGGGCTGAAAGTGACTTTAAAGACCATCTAGTCCCAACGACCAGGTTGATCAAAGCCCCATCCAGCCTGGCCTGGAACACTGCCAGGGAGGGGGCAGCCACAACTGCTCTGGGTAACCCCTTCCAGTGTCTCAGCACCCTCACGGTGAAGAATTTATTCCTTATATCTGATCTAAATCTACCCTCTTTCAGTTTAAAACCATTACCCCTCATCCTATCACTACACTCCCTGATAAAGGGTCCCTCTCCATCTCTCCTGTAGCCCCCTTTAAGCATAAATAATATTCACTGTATCAAGACAGGAGACCATGAAGAAAAACTACAGCTTATACTAGCTGAAAATGTCCAAAAATAAAAATAAGAAGCTGTATAACCAAAAGATAAATAGGGATTAATCTTTAATTTAAATAATGATGAACAGTTAGGCACTTTAGTAAGTTGTCCTGTCGTCTTGTTCATGGGGCAAATCTGTCTTGCTTGCATGGAAATGACAGAATAAATCTTTAAAAGTAACAACAGCAAAAACATACCTGTTTAACTTGCATAAACAATTCTCTCCATCTTCCATTTAGTAACAGAAGCTGCTGTTTTAGGTCTCTGGAAATGGTCTCATCACACGTTTCAATCAGAAAATTACCAGCATCATTCATGGCTGTGTGCTGTTGGATCCAGTGAGGTAAGTGCCGGAAGAAATCCTGAAAAAGAAAATGAAAACATCTTTCCAAAACCTTTTCAAACAGTCTCTAAAATTTTATAACCAGCTAGATAAAACCCTTTGAACAATTAACCTCTGAAGCTCTTCATATTGGATATGCCATATTAGAATTTTAAAGTCTGTGAACATAATCTATGGATTTACAAATTACCACCAGTTTACTTGTAGCTCAGTTTACTCCACTGAGTAGCTTCACTTAAGCTACTGGAACTCCTCCTTAAAAAAAGCTCCATTACTGATAGCACTGTTAAGGCTCATCTCATTTCTATCTTGTCTTGAAACAGTATGGGCTGATAATAACTTTGGCCATATACAGACTGTAGAGAGATTCTTCCCCTTCTATGAACTATATGCAGCTTTCCATGGTGTGGCATCCCAGAAGACCTGAAGGAGACTGAATCTTTATCACTGCTTCCTCCTATCTCAGAGTAGGTGTGTGGGGAGGGGAAAGGGAAGGTTGTCACTGACTTTTTTTCACCTGTTCTAGTGAGAGAGCCTAAAAACCCCAGACATAGTGCCAAATGCTTCTGTGCAACTTGTAGGCAGGTACACATGCATAAATTGGTAGAGAAGACAAACACCAGCTCCCTCCCTTCCTTTTTACTCTTAAGGGGGATGGGCAATTGTTCCTAAGGCAGGTATCTCTAGACTCTGTAAGTACAGCTATACCAATAAACAAAACAGGACTCAGTCACTGTCCTGTGATTGTCCACGTTTTCTCTGACATAGTTTTGGCTTGTCCCTGCTACCCTTCCTCCAAACAATGCACAATTCAATGGATGGCACGTGGCAAGGACTGTTCCCAAGACTGAATCTTTCTTTCAGGGGAGAAAGAGCAGTCACAAGGATACAAGCTGAACTTGGTGCTCAGGACTAAGTAAGGGGCACTGACACATTTTATTTATGACTATTGATCTACCCTATAATTCCAAGACACTTAATCTGACAGTGACAGTCCCATGCAATCCTTTGGTCAGGGGTAGATGTGAAAACGTCCCATCCTACTGTCAGTTATCCTCAGTTTCAGAGATACAGTTTTGAAACTTTATAGTTTATACTTATCGTAAGTCATCTCCACGTAAAAACAATTCTGATACAACCAAAGAGAAAACATCAAATGGGTGGATACTGCTCAAATTTGTTGAAGAGAGAATTGAATGTGTTTTAAATTCCCAAATCTGAGATCAGTAGAGTACAGGTTCTCTGTACTGATGTATCAGTAAATAAATGTCATCTTCTCAGCAAATTGCATGTGCAGTTTGAATCTTGTAATTGTAGTGGAGCATAACCCTTGCATTATGCAAAGGCTACCCTATGTGAGCACATCCAAAACAAATTAAGTCTACTGAATCTGGCGCTGGTCAGTTCTCTAATGCTCAGACTTACTAGAGGTCAAGAAAGAAAAACAACATGGAGTAAACTACTCGCATCCTCATTCCTGCATACCTATTCCCACAAAGCATTACCCTCCTCAGACCCTGATGTGGAGTCTCTGTTTCAGAAGCCAACCTGAAGCACGTATAAAACTTGGACAAGTTTGGAAGATACTTTGAAGCACACCTCATTCTCAATTAAAACAATGTAGTTGTTTTTAAGGAAGTATCCACATGAGAACTAGAAGCTCTCCGATACCCTTTGGTATCAGAGCTGTTGGAGAAAAGTGTGGGAGAGTGCAGTTACAATGGGGTTATGTTAGGAATTGCTTAAGAGGTACTGCAAGTAAAAGTTGTAGAAAGAGCAGTAGTTTGTGATAGTGCGCTGGGTTTGTGTGTGTGGTGGGGCTTTTGGTAGCTCGAGAGGGGGCTACAGCAGGGCCACACCAGAGCAGGTGACTGCTCCTGAAGAAGGCCGGGACTCTGTGGGAAGAAGCAGCCCTGCTGTTGTAGTTCAGTGATGAGAGGACTGCAACACATAGGAGCAACCTACACCAGAGCAGCTCAGGGAGAGCTGCAGCCCATGGGAAGGACTCATAGACAAAGTCTGTCTCACGGACTGTCTCCCGTAGGATGGGAACTATGCTGGAGTAGGGAAAGGATGTGAGGAGCCCCCTCTGCTGAGGAGGAAGAAGCAGCAGGACTGATGGCACCTCCCCATTCCCTGCCCCCTGTGCCACTGAGGGACAGGAGGTAGAGATACTGGGTGCAGAGCTGAACCTGGGAAAAGGGAGGGGTGGGGGAAGGTGTTTTCAGGATGTAGTAATGCTTGTCATGGTCCTACTGTTAAGTGTTATTGTTGTTAGTGTCTGAATTAAATGTATGTTCTTTTTTTCTTTTCATAAAAAGTTTGTCTTTTGCCTGTGACTGTAAAGGGCGATTCATCCCTCTCTGTCCTTATCTTGAGGCCCAAATCTTTTGACCTTTTGCTTTATTTTTCCCTTTTCAGCACTTGGGCGGGGGAGGAGGGGAGAGTGAGCAGCTGCATGGTGCTGTTTTTCTCTGAGTTCAAACCATGTCAAGTGGAAAAATTCAGCTGCATACTGATCTTTTTTTGCAAGATCTTCTGTGCTACAGGTTCACAATAAGGTTTTCGAAAACAGAAGCCAATGAGAATGCCAACAAACCACTTTCTTTTGCAAAAACAACAGTGGTACTTTCTGGTCTTGAAATCATACAGAGATAACATAACGAAGAAGAAAACATGCCAGCATGGTAAGGAGCTACTATGGTCTTTGCCTAGGATAGAATACGGTGGGTTTTAGTAATGCAGGTAAGGTAGGCAAATGAGCGTCATTGAAATCTTTATATCATATTACTAATATATTTGTGGTTTTGCAGAAAAAAAAATTTGGAAATGTTTAAAAAGTTTTCCAAGCACTAGTCCAAGAACTATTCCAAGCAATAGTTATCATGTGTCACCAGGGATCCAAATGCTTGTGCTGATGGCTGCATAACTATTAATTGTACAAATCAATGTAAGTATGGATTTTCTTTTTAATAACCAAATATTAAAACTGCTAAATCAGAACTATCCTTGGAACTATATAAGTGAATATTATTGCTGTGGAGTGCTAGATTCAACATTAATAGTAGAAGCAACTTTAAAAATTTGCATCTCAGTCTACGGGCTGAGAAAGTTGGTGTTGTTCAGCCTGGAGAAGAGAAGGCTCCCGGGAGACCTTATAGAGGCCTCCCAGTACTTGAAGGGGGCTACAGGAAAGATGGGGAGGGACTCTTCATCAGGGAGTGTAGTAATAGGACAAGGAATAATGGTTTTAAACTGAAAGAGGGTAGATTTACATTAGGTATATGGAAGAAATTTACTGTGAGGGTGGTGAGGCCCTGGCACAAGTTGCCCAGAGAAGCTGTGGCTGCCCCCTCCCTGGCAGTGTTCCAGACCAGTTTGTTTGGGGCTTTGAGCAACCTGGTCTAGTGGGAGGTGTCCCTGCCCATGGCAGGGGGATTACAACTAGATGATCTTTAAGGTCCTTTCCAACCTAAACCATTCTATAATTCTATGATTCTATGATTTTGAACACTGACAAGTTACTTAAATAAAACATATACAAGGAGCTAAGATCAACCCGATCAGCTGAGGTCATCCTTCCTTCTCAGTAATAATAACTGTTGGTATTTATATTATGCCAGGCTATTGAAACATTTTCACAGGCTTATTTTAATTTAAAAAGTGTATTCTATTATTTTACATCAGTTTAACAAACTTTTACCAAAATGATACTGTTCTTTCATGTAATATGAAATGCTCGTTCCTGACCTGATGTCAGTTTGACATCTTACAGCCCATGAAAACCATACTTTGGTGTTAAGACCTTTATAGCTGCTATGTTGGGACTGGATGAAAATGTAGCACCTATTAAATGCAGCATTATTTAATCTGGATCATTACTGAAGTTTAACAAACATAAAATTTAGTGCTTCAGTACTCTAATATTAGGAAAAAAAAAAAAAAAAGCACAAAACTATCTTTATGACTGAAAGTCCCTGAAAGGAACTGTCTAAAAGATTTCTAAAATACCAGGAAAATGGAAAAATTACCCATCAAACATAACAACACATATTAATAATGTCTTGTGAAGGCAACTAATTTAAATCTGTCATCTATATGGTAGAAACATCGGTGTTTAAAATACTTTTCTTTAAGTATCTTTATACACAGCAAATAATGATGCACTTTGGTGTTAAGAGCTGTACTTGCCTTTGAGTGAATCATGTAACATTCCTATCTCTGAGCAATACCACTGCCCTATATTCATGTCAAAGATGCTTCTAACCGTGTTATCACAGATGATGCCTTCCTTCATTGTGTATAAATATGTCTGTACATGCTGTACGTGCAGACATTGAAAAAACACCTATGATGAATGTAGGCAGTATGCCAGAAACAGAAAATCTCTCCCTCTTGTATGAAATTTTGAAAAACAAATTAAGCCAATTCAAAAACACATGCCACATTTCATAATTTACAAAATAGCCAGATACATATGCTATTAGTGCATACCTTTTTAGAATGTTCAGGCTCATTCAGCATTTTTTCAGCATCTTCCAGCCAAGCTTGTAGACCTGCCACAGTGCTGCTATATCTGTCCCAATTTGCAATTACTTCTTCCAACATGCTTCTTACACTTCTCACCTCTACCGACAGGTTTCTCCACTGCGCTGTTGTTTCATTCATGAATTTCATTACATTCTCAACTTCTTCCACTAAGATACAGGAAAGACATTGATTATTTTGGTTCACTGTTATTTCTGTAAAGCTTTATTTTATGTTTTGCTTACCCGTTCTCAACAGGGAATTATATTTTACTGCAGCTGCTATTTCAGTAGGCTTTTATATACATATGGTCAGTTCACAGACCAATTCGAGTGCAAAACTACAACTGAGAAATTAAACCTGTGAATTAAAGACTAAGAAAAGTACATAAATCAACTGCTATGTTAAAACAGTCACTGCATATTCAGTGTGGTGTTAATTTCTAATTTGTAATAAAATAAATCAAGAGAGAAAGTTTCCTTTAAAAAGCCCAAAATAATAGAGATGTATAATGTACAAACACATATTAAGTCTACATTGAAAAATACTGAATAAAGTTCTGATCTTCCTTTCGCCAACTTTAAATACAAGCCACCGCTAACTGTTGCCATTTAATTTTTAGTATTTTCTTCACTGCAATAAAAGAACGAGTGTGTCCTCATTCCAGAAGAAAAAAACAGAGAGAAGAAAAAGGACACAAGCAAAACCTGAGACTTCATAAAACATGCAGAATATAGATAATTTAAAAAACATTTTTTAGCTAAGGTGTCCTCTAATTTGCACTGCTGTTTATAAATTCATATATGTGAGTTGCTGTCCTTTAGAAAATAATTTGCTATTGGACTTTTTTAATAGCACTGAATAAATCTATTAATTTTACTATTTGTAAGAATACCTTGTAAAAAATGTTTACTTTTGTAAAATGTGTCACCATCATCAATTTAAATTTCACAACAAAAAAAGATATCCATTATCTCTCCCCATCTGCTAACCACTTCAGTAGCTGCAGCAATCCTCCACAGACATTACTGTGTTATCTCCTCAGCAGACATTAAAGTGATCTCATGTCTGTAACTATCTAGGTCAAATACTGCCCTCATGAATTGTCACTGAACTCAGCAGTGTTCAGGAATTCAGGAGGCAGCTGTTGAATCAGCTACACATTTTTCTCATGTATATCTATACTTCAACTACCATTTGGGTTCCTCTTACAGGTTTTCACAGTTATTGAAGAATCTTCAATAAAAGTGGAGATACTTTTGCTACTACAACAGTAGCGGGACCAACTCCCTATTTGTCTTTTCCTAATGAAGACAAGCCAGGGAGCATTTCTAGGCACCAGAACACAGTTTCCCTACTCTTTATTTGGTCTCTGGCCAACCTTTTGGCCCAAATCGACAACACTGAAACAGTTCAGAAGTTAGCATGGACCATGGACTTCTCCCATTAGGAAGTCTGAACATGACCACCTGCTGCTGGAGATTAAGAAATCTTAACAGAGGACAGCAGGCTGCTCTGTACCATATGGCTTCATGCTCAAGAATATGTGAAATTGCTACCAAAGGCTGTAGCCTCTCTGGTGAACTGCAGCTGCTGTACAGCTCTGCTGCATGGAAGAAACAAATATTAGATCTTTTTAGACATAAGAGGATTCTTATGTGTAAAAAGATTAAAATGGTGTCGCCGTGATGAAAGAAACATGGGCAATTACCTGAGCCATTTGCTTTGGCATACATTTCAGCTGCTCTTTTCAAGATCTGGTAAGTAACTTCATACTGCTCAAAGAACTTACTATTTTCAATAACAGACTGAAAAGAAAAAAAACAAACAAACAAAATAAAGACAGACATAAGGATAATTTCCATGAAATTACATTAGGACAGCGATGACAACTTTTAACTTCATTATTCCTCCATTCATTTCTTCAGCATTATAAAATAATATTTAAATTATCATAATTAAAACACGATGTGTAAATTTCACCTTCTCAAATTAATGGTACAGCAGAATCTCCCTTTACAGATACAGTTTATTTATTTTGCTTATGAAAAGATAATTTAAAATGTTCTTAGTCTGTTAGTTGCTGACTTGCTGAAATTCACTATCATATGATACTTTGAATATGGAGAAACTGAGGAATTAACTTAGAAGTTATTTAATGGAAACTGTTTTACACTGAAATCTAAGTAGAATAATTTTAATAAAAGAGAAAATTTCATCCATAAAGATCACCGCAAAAATAAAATCCAGTTAAACTTTAAAATTTGTTCTTGTATTAAGCCTTTGCAGAAAGGCAGGTTTTACTTTAAGAGATGAAAAACATTTGACTTATCCTTCAGTTTTTCTTTACCTCCTTTGTAATTGGCAAAAATAAGATTATGGAAACACTGCAGAAAGAGATGCTGTTTTCCAAAGTGTGACACAGCACTTTTCCTTTATGAGTGATGTTTTAGCTGTGTAATGTGTTACAGCACAATGAATAATTTATCTGGAAATAACAGTTACGGCTCTTCATCATTTATGCCTCTTTATCCCTATGGCAAATGACACTGCCTTTTTTTGTAACATGTCTTTCAGAAATGTTACTTTCTTTAATTGTGATATATAATTGTATCTCTATATTATGCAAGCATGTTATATCTTGTATTACCTCTGTTAAAAAAGGGAGAAAAACCTGTTTGTTTTTTTGGTTTTTTTTTTTTTTTTTTTTACAGTGCTTTTATATTGTCTTACCTAATGCACTTATCTAGACTTTTGGAATGGTTTTGTAACTTACACTACCTCCCATGACTCCTCAGTTTCAGACCTACAAAATTAAGGCAAGTACATCTCACACACATCCACACAAGCTTTCAAATGTCAGAACAGACAAAATTCTACGTGTACTAGTGTGATTTTTGGTAAAATCAGGTTTCAAGTGAAGTCAAAGTTCAATGTACTTTGAAGAGGACAATTAGATTTTGTGTAAAAACATTAGTTTTAAAAATTAAACTGTCAGCCAGTATACATCCAAAAATCTTCTATTTTAAAACATTTTACAGTTGCTATGTCAAATCCCCACAGTTATCTTGCATGTAATTTAGAAATGTATTTATAATGAAGGAAACTAGAAGTCAAGGACAATCAGAATTTTTCTTTGCTCTACTGTTAAAAAAATATCCGGCATGTATATAGAACTACATGCTTTACCATGAATTATGTGACAAACTCCTGACTTTCACTTTTGCCAATCCCATACACACAGACATTTTACCTTGAACCAAAAACTGCAAGACTTCATATGAGAAAGTAAAAGACTATGTCAAACAACTTATATAATATTGAGCAATTTCAAGAGCAAATGGAAATATTTTCAAAAATAAATATAGACATTTTACTGATTAATACTGTATTCCATCTGACAAGATTCCTGAAACTAATTATGTGTAGCATTTCCCAAATCCATATAGCATAAGGTGCTAAAATATTGCTAATACACCGATGCCAAAACATGGTTCTGTGGGTTAAAATCCATCGGTAACTGTACCCAGTATTTCCATTACAGCAGAGACTGGTACACTATATTCTTCAGGTTGATGATGTACAGTTTGTGCTGACCTCTACTTCTGGTAGATGACAGACAGGTGAAAAGAAGATAGGATAAAGTAACAACCACCACTTTTATTTTTAAGCTACAGTACGTAAATATTTTCCGGGCATATGTTCTATCCAGATTCTAACTACGCATGTTCTTAGAATGCTGGCATTGCTCAGTCTGATTTGGCAGACAAACAAACTTACATTTTTATCTCTTACTAATATAGCCATGGACTATAAGGTACTGACTACAGCTTTCCTACGTTAGACTCCTAATTTACCGGAAGAGTAACACTTGGCCCTCAGTCATAGAAAATTGCTCCCAGGTAAGCCAGAGCAAATAAAGTCTCTTTCCATCACTGGACATGTGGAAGGAGCTAGAAATCAAGGCCATCAGGAATGAAACTGAGCTCTATTTATCTTGTCCCAATTTCAACATTTTGATGCGATGCAGTTTCTTAAATGATTAAAGGAAACATTTTCCTTCCAACTCAACATCAGTGGTCTGAAGCACAGGAATAACTGAGGCAATCACAAATATATAAATTCACCATTTAATGTTCATTTTAAAGAAAAAATACGTGATATAAAATAATAATCCAAAAGTCAAGCTATCTACTTCTTATTTCCCTTGTGACCTTTTAGTAGATTTTGCAACAGTCTTACAGAGTATGCAAACGGACTATAATGCCTAGATATTGCACATCACTCCAGTAAACTATTTTATTTAAATAACCATCTGAATTTTGCAAAGCTTTCCTAAAACAAGGCTTAACTTCTGCATTTTTATGTGTCCCAAATTGTTAAAGTTTAAATATAGAAAGGGAAAAGTGTGAGTAGGTCTTCAATTCTCACTCTGTAGAGGAACTTGAGTCTGAAGTTTTCTTCCAAAGCAATAAAAACTATCAGGCTGTGGGGACATCAGTAACTTTCCCTACAGTGTCCAGTCTCTGGATGGTTCTATAACTGTATGAATTCTTTCCAATTTTCCTGTGCAATTTGCATGGACTAGATACCAGGGGAAAAAACCTATTTAGCCAAGTCCTGCTTTTGAAAGAATCCCTCACACCCTGATGTAGAAGTGCAGTGGTGGTACTGTTCTATCAGGCACTTAGCACTGCAAGTGTGAATTTAACAAGATAGAGCAGCATAAGACCAAAAGAAAACATATCAACGAGCATTTGTAAGTCAATAGGCTCTGTTTCTTAAATGATATATAGATGATGCAGAGCTGGAGTAATATCCTTCCAGAACAGAAATAAAATAATGGATTTAATATACTAATGCTGAGCAGGAGAAGAAAAACACTATTTGAAAGAATAAAATTACTCCCCTATCAGTATAGTATATTGAACAAGTACACAGAAGCAGCATAACTTTTTTTTTTTCTTCATTTGAAAGACTTTTTTTAAAAGTACTGTGGGATACTGCATGCCAAAAACCTCCTCTATCTCTACATTTAATCTGTGTATAGTCACTATGAAGTGCATCTATGCAGTTGTAAAAGAACATTGAATTAAGGTATTTGGAATTGCTTTCTAAGGTAAGTAAAAACCCAGGATTTGGAACTTCCAGACATGCTTGATGGTTGGACAGTTAATAGAGACGACATTATTTCTGGTTTTGAACAGATGGTGCAAAGATAATAATTTTCATTTTTAGCCTTTTGACTAAAGTTCCTCCATGGGGTAGACAGATTCACCTCTAAAAAGATATTCCACAAGAATGCAGTCATGAAGTTGATGACTGGCAAGTCTCATTTCTGTTTCTTTTATTCATTCCCAGCATTCTTAAACGTAAATATTTCAAAACTAATTATAAAAAGAAGAGACAACCCCAACTTACAATATAATTTTGAAGAAGTAGTTCCACTGATTCTCGCCTTCCATATTTGATAATCCATGATTTTAACTTTGATTCTGCAAGGACTAAGAGTGACAGTAGACGGTACTTCAGTTCCAGAAACTCCATCTTCAACAGATGGAGCTCAGATGAAGAGACAACAAAATTAAACCTATAAAATGAATCACACTGTAGTAAAATGCATCAATATTCATTTTTGCAGGAGAGACTGAAAGCTTTAGTTACAGTTCAGATATTTTTCTAATCTTTCACCTAATTCAGTCTACAAACATTTAATTATGGATGATGATCATTCTGATGATTGCTCTTGAATAGCAAATTAATTACAATTCTGTTTATTCATAGAAATAATCAGTTTACATCTGTTACTAAGTTTTGCAAAGTCATTTTTCTTTTTTTTTTTTTTTTTTTTTT